GCAGATAGTAAACATGTAACCAGCTCTATGAACAAATTTCAATGACCCTATTTGTTTTTTTTTTTTTTTTGAGACAGAGTCTCGCTTTGTTGCCCAGGCTAGAGTGAGTGCCGTGGCGTCAGCCTAGCTCACAGCAACCTCAAACTCCTGGGCTCGAGTGATCCTTCTGCCTCAGCCTCCCGGGTAGCTGGGACTACAGGCATGTGCCACCATGCCCGGCTAATTTTTTATATATATATCAGTTGGCCAATTAATTTCTTTCTATTTATAGTAGAGACGGGGTCTCGCTCTTGCTCAGGCTGGTTTTGAACTCCTGACCTTGAGCAATCTGCCCGCCTCGGCCTCCCAAGAGCTAGGATTACAGGCGTGAGCCACAGCGCCCGGCCCCTATTTGTTTTTTTATAATCCTTTCCCTCCCATGTTTTAGATTTTCAGGTAAGTAGAGCACGATGACCAGAACCCTATAACTTTTAAATAACTAATTGACCTTTTTGAATTGTTTCCCAGAAATGATGGAATTTCTGTAAGACAAAAAAGTTGAGATTCCAAAGGCCGAAGGCTGAAGGCTGGTGAGTAGGATTCCCAATGCCAAGATTCCCCATCCCTCAGTAACTTGCCCCATGCACATAGACCTACATTAATTTCCCCTTGTTAATTTCAAGACAACCTGCCCCTATGCATGTAGCCTCTCTTTACAAAGCCCCATATCCTCTGTTAGTTGAGGCTGCTTCTCCTGTTCTCCTGACAGATATCTTTCATATTAACATTTCCTTTCTTCCTTGGCAAACCTCATTGTCTCTGTGCCACAAGCAAATAGACCTGGACCAAAACCCCCTTGCAGTTTGGATAACAAACACATAAACAAAGAAATAAACAAGATAATTTCAGGTTGTGATAACTGTTTCGAAGGAAATATATAGGCTAATGTGATAAAAATGTCTTTGAGTGGAAGAAATTGGGCTATGTGGCCATGAGAAATTTTACAGTTCACTTCAAAATGACTTAAGAGCATATACTATGTTCATGGATTGCAAGAATAGAAGAAAGGAAAATTAAGAGCCTACCTTGAAAATAGTCCATGCATAAAATGGTACAAAATGAATGATTCCCATTTTCATGTGGGATAAATCTTTTCCTAAAGAACCATGCTCTTACTATTCCCTGGGAGTCACTGAAGCAAGATTCTTTCAAAGCCCAGGAGAAAGAGATCCCATCAGTAATGCCAACAAATGTGTGTGTTGATGTTCCCTGGGATGAAAGTCAGAGGCATACAGAGCATTCCAGAAAGTAAGACAAGGGTCGCCTACAGACAAGAGGTTGACTTAAGCCCCCATGTGTAGAAACAGGTCCCCAGAGAGGAAGTGGAGAGAGAAGAGTTGAGAGCCTAGGAATGAGCCACTTTAAATATTTTGAGATATGTCTTATCTGCTTGATATTCTTCCTAACAGTTCGTAAATAGTCTCTGGAACTGAACTTTCATAAAAAATTAGAAGTCCACCAAAGTACATTTCTGACCTCAGAGAAATAATGAAAAAGTCTGATCTGCATGCACTTTAGATGTTCAGCCGTGAAAGCATTCAGTCATGTTTTTGGAAAGCAAACCAGCTTTTAATTCCTTGTGCGTATTTGCAATCAATAAGGAAAATAGGAGATCATGGATATAATAGGTACCAAAATAAACTGGCGTATTCAGCTTGAGCCAATGAGCATCCACCAGTTCACATTTCCATTTATAACAGAGGTTCTCACTCATCAGCAATGTGTGATTTAGAGCTGCTGCAGCCAGCTCAGCTCACAAGTCAGCCTCTTTTCTGATAGTGTTCCTAAAATTAAAGGAATACTCAAAACGTCAAACCAGGACATTTCATTCCTGTTCTTCACCAACTAACACATTTTCCATTACATGTTACTTCCTCTCACAGCTTCAGCTACTACATCTTCCCCAGTGACTCTCAGAGCTCTCTCTCAAGCCCATATATCTACCCTTAGCCCCAGACACAGATATCAACTGCCTCCAAGACATGCCCTCTTTGATGTCACACAGGAAACTTCACAATCGAAGGGACCAAGCTTTCAGTCCCCAAAGTATTTATCTTTCTGTGTCATTTGTGTGATTGGCCTCTCCAAGCTAACAAGATCCTGCATAGTAGAGATCCCCAGGCTGAAGCTAAGCTTGGATGCAATCATGTCCCAGTGTAGCCAAAGAACTGGTGGTTAGGAAAACAAAAGATAAGATTGGAAAGAACAGATATATGAAAAAATGCTCAATGTCACTAATCATCAAGGAAATGCAAATTAAAACCACAATGAGATATCACCTTACTCTTGTTAGAATGTTTTTTTTTTTTTTTTTTTTTTGAGACAGAGTTTTGCCCAGGCTAGAGTGAGTACCGTGGCGTCAGCCTAGCTCACAGCAACCTCAAACTCCTGAGCTCAAGCAATCCTGCTACCTCAGCCTCCCGAGTAGCTGGGACTACAGGCATGCACCACCATGCCCAGCTAATTTTTTTCCTATATATGTTAGTTGGCCAATTAATTTCTATTTATAGTAGAGATGGGGTCTCACTCTTGCTCAGGCTGGTTTTGAACTCCTGACCTTGAGCAATCCTCCGGCCTCAGCCTCCCAGAGTGCGAGGATTACAGGAATGAGCCACCGCGTCTGGCCTGTTAGAATGGCTTTTATTAAGAAGTCCAAAAAAATAGATGCTGGCATGGATGCATAGAGAAAGGAATGCTTATACACTGTTGGTGGGACTGTAAATTAGTACAACCCCTATAGAAAACAGTATCGAGCTTTCTCAAAAAACTGAAAGTAGACCTACCATTCGATCCAGCAATCCCACTACTGGTTATCTACCCAAAGGAAAAAAATAATTTAATCAAAAAGACACCTGTAATCAAATGTTGCTTGCAGCACAATTCACAATTGCCAAGATCTGGAATCAACCCAAGTGCCCATCAATTCATGAGTGAATTAACAAAATGTGGTACATGTATAAAAAAGGATGAATTAAAACCTTTTGCAGCAATTTGGAAGGAATTAGAGACCATTATCCTAAGTGAAGTATCTCAAGAATGGTAAAACAAATACCACATGTACTCCCTAATAAATTGGAACTAACTAATGGGCACACAAGTGCAGAGAGGGAAGTAAAAATCATTGGATATCAAGCAGGGAGGAGGAGGAGGAGGGGAGGGGCAAAAACTCACCTAATGGGTACAATGAACATTGTTGAGGTGATGGGGACATTTAGGGGCCTGACTCAAGCTATGTAACAAAAACATTTGTACCCCCTTAATATTTTGAAATTTAAAAAAAAGAAGAAGAAGAACAGGCTAGAGAGGGAAACCAGGAGTCTGCTTTGGATATTGATTCTTTGACATGACCCTATGAATTCCCATTTGAGCTTCATGAAGAGAGTTCTTTGTCAAAGTTCAGTAAGTTCCAATATGATACAAGGCTTTGTTGGCCAAGTGTCAAAAATATGACCCACAATGGGCAGAGAGACCTTGAGAATATAGTATGGCTTTGACTCAGCGAGGACGCTGGGAGACTCAGCACTACTAGGTTTGTAATTTGCAGGCATCACATAAAACTTTGGTGTTCTTTACACCCACAAGGATGGCTACGGTAACTTGGAAAACAAAAACGCAAATAGAAAATTGTTATGGGAATGTAAAATGATTCATCCACTGTGTAAAATGGTTTGCATTTCCTCAAAAAGTTAAACATAGAATTACCATATGACCCAGCAATGCTACTCCTAGGATTCCAGAGAATTCTTAAGAGAACGAAAACAGGTACCCAAATGAGTACATGTACACACATGTTCAGAATATTCACAACAGCCAAAAGGTGTAAAGCATCTAAATGTCCATCAGCTGATGAATGAATAAAGTTGTGGTATACACATTCAATGGAATATTATTAATCTTTAAAAGAGAAATGAAATACTGATATATGCTACCACATGGATGAACCTTGAAATATCATGTTAAGGGAAAGGAGCCCGACACAAAAGGTCACATATTGTATGATTCCATGTACATGAAATATCCAGAATAGGAAAAATTCACAGAAACAGAAAGCAGATGGGTAGTTGTCACAGGGTGGGGGAGGAGGGATGGACAGTAACTGCGTAATGGATCTGGGGTTTTCTTTTGGAGTGATAGAAATGTTTTGGAACTAGGTAGAGGTGATAGTTGCACAACATTGTGCATGCACTAAATGCCACTGGATTATTCATTTTAAAATGGTTAATTTTATGTAAATTTCAATGCTGTAGAAAAGTGCTCAATGTAATTCTCCACATTGGCATAGATAGAAGAAAATATAAACGATCATTTCCACAAAAGCAGAAAGAGGTATTGAAAATAAAACTTCAGTGCTGTCCCCGCGGACACCAGCAGGTGGCAGTAAGGAGGCACCACTGTCAAGAGCCCCCAGCAGCAGGAGCAAGCCTTCCTTCTGTAAGGCAGGTCTCTGAATGTATCTATCAGGCACTGCCAGGGACTCCCAGGAATTACTGGGAAGGGCTTTGAAGGGAGCTGAATGCCCCATAGAAGGCAGAGGAAAGAGCCAGTGAAATCTGGGTAACTGGTAACACAGCCCTGTTTGCACTTAGAAGTCAGGGAGGCCTGAGGAAACCCAAGTTAACACTGACAACCACTCTCTGTGCAGACCTACCTCTCCTCATTCTCTCATCAATAGGCCACTGAGTCCTACAGACTCTACCTCCATTCCCCAGCTAGCACCTGAGTCCAGGTCTCCGACTTGGACTGACACACCCGCACCTCACCTGGCCTCTGCCTCTACTTACCCATCCCTCTCATGCAGCAGCAAGGAGCCTGCAAAGATGCAAGTGTGATTTTGTGGCTTGCCATCGCTTACACTCTCGCTACAACTCAAGCGAGCTGAGAAAATACTCTGTTCTGCCTAGAACCAATCTTGTCTTTCACCAGACATCTGTGCTTTGCCTGAAAAAGTCCAAGGAGGCCCCTGGCAGAAGGGAAGGGTATTGAGCCCTCATCAACCCAAGAGAGCCTACAGCACAAATATTCAGCCAAAAACATTAGCAGCATGAGGGACCAGAGAGACAAGAGGCAATTTATAAAAGTAATACACAGTTCCTATTTTTTAAATAGCCCTCACCCTTTTTATTTATAATGCACTGTTTTCCTGTTGGTACACAAAGCATTTTAGGTGGGCTGCAATGTCTCAGCTTTTACACCTACAGGATTTTATAGTAGGAAGTAATCATTTCATCCAGTTGTTCTTAGACTTTGTTCTAGGAAACTCTGGTTCTGATTAACACCCAAAGGTAGAGTACAAGAGGAACGAACCTTGCCAATGTTGGTTTTATTAGCCTATTGCGGCAAGAGGGTGTGCATACCAAATGAACTATGCAACGACTCAGTAAGAGGCTGTGGGAAACGGCTTTTTGCAGGGTTTGTGTTAAGTGATTCTAAGGTGGGAAGGGTAGGAGAAACAGGAATCAGGTCAGCGTGGATGTGTCACAAAGCAGGGTGGTTTAATCGTTGGGTATCTCAGAAATCTTGGTTCAGGAAGTGGAGGAATGGAGTGGGTGTGGAGAACGAGTTGATAAGAAAGAATTAGTCACTCAATGTCAGTAACCTTGCAGCTGTGTTGAGGCCTTGGTTTAAATACTGGTTTTGGTCGGCCTTGCGCTGGCCTTGTTAATAACTGTCCCGAATGTCGCAGTCCGCTCAGCAGAGCTCATTTCCACTTGAAGTCAGTGGGAGTTCCTGGAAAAAAGGGACCTACTTTTAAATGAGCCTGGAAAATACTTGTTACACAATTTTAAATAAAAATAATACTGGGGTTTCTGGAGCTTTTAACATGCTAAAGTGAATTGTGAATATCCCAAGACACCTTCAATTTCTTTTCAACACAGCTGCCTGGGTGAGTCTCTTCCAACGTAAGTCAGAACTCCCAGTGGTTTCTCACGTCCCCAGCCCAGCCTCCATACAATCTGTCTGCCCTCTTTCCCTTCTTCTCTCTACTCCGTTGCCTGTCCCGCCTCCTTGCTGTTCCATGAGCACTTGTGTCCCCAGGGTCCCAAACGCTCTTCCCCAAGCAACTGCATAACTTGCTCCCTTCTCTCTCAGGTCTTTGTTCAGATGGAAACTTCCAGTGAGGCCTTCCCTGATCACCTTGTGCAAAATCTATCCTCCACCCACCCCCAACACTCCCAAACACCCTTTCGCTGCTTTATTTTTCTTCTTAGCACTTATCACCATCTAGATGCATTTTATTTTTCTTGTGTATGGTCTCTCTGCCCAGGTGGGTGGGGGTTTTTTATTTATTTCATCTAGTGGCATATCCCTAGTACCTGGAACTGTGGCCGGCACAAAATAGGCCCATGATAGAAATGTGTTGAATGAATGGATACCCAAACCCCTTCCAAACTTCTTCTCCTACAAAGAAAGTGGTGAGGGAGGCCTCTATGTTTTCCATTTATAGACAGTAAAGAGGTTTCGGAAGGATACATGAGGGGGGCCCAGGGACTCTTTATTGCAGGGCTCTAGGACCAACCATCCATACCTTACCACCCAAACCCATTTTTCCAAGGTCCACCCAACCACCCTGGAATTAAATACTGCACACCACTAGATGGCAATGTTTACCACGATTCTTGAGCTTCTTATACACTACCCCCTCCCTATTCCCTGCTCCCTGCTTCCACAAGCCTTTGAAATCACCTTCTTCCCAGAAGTAATAAATTCTGAGGAATGGCTACCACTCCCTACACCATCTCTAGACTACAAAGAAGCCTGAAGTCAAATGACACCACTTGCCAACTAGCCCATGCCTGGGTGCAGGCTAACCCTTTGCTTAGGAGCCAACAATGGTTTTCAGTATTTCTATCTAGTAGCACCCTTGGCAAAGCACTGGTCCTCTTTGAAAAGCTGTAGGACTCCACATGCCCCACACCCCACCCCTTCTATTTGCCCTGTGGCCCACTTGGCACAATCCTGTCTCTTTACCTCTTGCCCGTCTGTCCCTTTATAGGATAAAGCACAGGTTGAGATGCCAATTCTATTTCTAGCCTTTAGCCAAAGCAGTCTGAGAGGCAGCATGGAATGGAGACCCAGTGGTAGGGACTGAGCACAAACGACATCTCCATCACAAACTGTCCTAGGACCCTAGGCAAACCTAGTCAACATCTCTCAACTTGGGTTTATGCAGCTGTGTGATGAGGATAAAAACTCCTGGACCAGACAGATGTGGTCAGCCTTAAATGAGAAGATATATGAGACTCCAAAGGAAGCTTTCTACAAAGCTTTGTTTTCCATTTCCAGATATCACCTGTAATTATACTCCAAAACTTAAATCAGGGTGATTGGCTGACCTGCTGAACCTGTCTCTGTATTCCTGGCCAGTCTGAAAATGTCTCAGTGAACAAAAACTCTGTGATTGAACTTCTCTACATTGTCTTGGGTAACAGACTCAAGGTACGTCAGCAAACGCACATGTAGAAAGCTACTGTCTTCATGAATGAGCATTCAAGCACATCAGCAAGTATTTATTGAGAACCTGAAATTTGCATGGGTGTTTTAGAAAGATTATTCCGGAAGCAAAAATATGACAGATGAGGGGAAAGAAAAAATATAAAGACACCAAGTCACTCTTTAGTGAAATACCATTGTTTCTGACCCTTCAGAGAAAATATATGTCAATGAATATTAGAATGGTCATTGGTTTTTGTTCCCTGCCTCTCCCTTTTTAATCAATAAATCCAGAAATAATGGTTCCATTTTAGGAGCAAGGGCACATAATGGGGATTGTTCACTGTAGCCAGGCTATTCCACACAGACTGTGCCTATAAGTAGAAACAAAAAAGCTCAATTGTGCCTGTGGCCCAGCCATACCTCGGGCTAAGGACTCCCTGTTTCCTAATCACATCTCCTTTCCCAGAAATCACCCTACAACCCAGCCCTCCCTTTCCACCCTAGAACCATCTGGCTGACTTGACTCCTTGAGCTTCCTTCACATAGTGATACATCACCCTTCCCTCTCTCCCACCTCCATTGTCCTGAAGCCCTTCTTCCTTTACCCTTTCTCAAAGTGCTACCAGACACTGGTCCATTACAGTTCAACTCTTTCTCAGTTCACCTTCTGAGTGTTGAGACATCAGAAGAGAAAAAAGGAGATTATTTCCTGTGACTTGGCTTTATAAAAATAGCATGGATTTTATAAAAAGAAGAACAGGACAGGACTGGTGTTTGTTCACCTAGTAGTTACTCTAATTATAGACGGTGGGGTGTCATGAACAACCATATTGGGTGACAGGCTGGTTGCATCAGACAGGATGTCTCATTTCCAACTTCCCCTGTTAATGCCCTGCACATGTCCTAATCAGCATTTTAAAATTACAACCTGGTCATTACACAAATAGGAAGTTTTCCTATTAGCTGAGTTGTGGCCTGCAATTTAGTATTACCAAAGATGTTTTTAATTCCCGGAGCCCAGCTTTATTCTCCCAGATTTTGCTGATTTACTATTTTCAGAGAAATAACGGACATTTAGGAGTTTCACCTGGAAGAAGGAGGCAAAAGCTGAAATCTTGTTCCCATTACAGAAGAGTATTGTGTCCCACGTCCCCCACGCCCTGCCCCCATATCCTTTGCTGTTGTTATTTAGTAGTAAAATTGCTGTTGCAGGAACATGGAAGAATTAAAGATACCACAAGCCCAACATTCAAATCAAGCATGTCCTCTCTCACGGAACTCAGAACTAGAACTTAAAAAAAGAAAAATCAGTCTGAAGTTAAATGAATTCAGTACCTCTGAATGTATTTATAACCTTGTCCTTGTCTTTTTATACCTAATGGACTTCTGGGAATTTTCTTTGAGGGCGGAGCCCCTCAATGCAGCTGCTTATGCTTCTAACAGAAATCACAAACTGGCCATTCACAAACCACAGCCAGCCAGCTGATGTATTTAGTTTGGCCCATATGGTATTTTTTGAAAATAAAAATTAGTTGTCAACATCTTAAAAATTCACATAAAAATACAGATTTATATAAAATAGATATAGATTTATATACAAATACAGATTTACATATTGCCTTGGGATAATAATGTCAGATGAGGCAGCCCTGGGATATTATTGCCACGTGAGTGGTGGGGCCATGGACCATTAACCCAGTAGGACACACATAAGCAGGATCACTCACAGGAAGGGTGAGGCTGGGAAAGTGACCAGTTTTCTTCCATGCCAAGATGTCTAGATCTGAACCCCAATTCCAGGGAGCATTCGGTTCTGCTGCTACCGCAACATGTCTGAAACAAAATATATCTTCCTAAATACCTGCCCAAAGATCTAGTTTCTAAATGCAGCACAATAGGCTTCCCTCTTCTTCTTCTTTTTTTTTTTTTTTTTTGTTTCTGGCTACAATAGGAAGCAGAGGCTTCCCTCTTCCTAACCGTGAAACCAGCTTTGACTCTGCCCTCTTCTTCCCCATCCCTCCCCCTTCACCATCAGTCGCCAAGCCCTGCCATTTAGTCCCTCAAGATTCTACTGAGTAACAAGGTGGCCAGCAGCCACATGAGCACTTCAATGTGGCTCATGAGAACTGAGATATGCTGTAAGCAAAAAACACACCTGACTTTTAAATACTTATGTCTAAAAAAAATGTAAATTAACAGATTAATAATTTTATATTGATTATCTTTATATTGAATAAGTTTGACATATTAGATTAAATAAAACACATTATTCAAATTAATTTGCCCATTTGTTTTTAACTTTTTAAATTTATCTCCTAAAACTTTTAAAATTACATATGGAGCGCACATTTGTGGCTCATATCATCTATTAGACAGCACTGCTTCAAAACATCTCTTGGATTTGTCCTAGCTTTTCTGGCATCAGTTCCACCATGTTAGCCTAGTCTTTCCTTTCCCTTCACTCCCAGAATTTCACATTAGTCCCCTAAAGACTTTAAGGCCTTTCTCCACTTCTAATTTATTCTATACACCCTGGCCAAATTATCTGCCTAAGACATTGCTTTATCATGAAACACTCCAGCTCAAAAACTAACATTAGCTACCAGCTCTACTCCATAAAGTCCAAACTCTTAATAACAAACTGGTAACAGCTTCCACTTTAAAAACCTCACTGTGCATTTCATGCAATTCTCCCAACAACCTTGCACTTAGGACGCCAGACTCTTGGTTTTCTAAATAAAGCAGAAAAGACTGCAACATTTGACTGAGATGGGGGGGAGAAGGGAAAGCACCTTTGATCCAAAAGGTTACAAAGATGATGCAGTTAAAGCATCTAAATAGCAGTTCTTTTCATTTCCAGTGGTTTATACAACACCTCACAATCGGCTTAACAGCAATCAACATCTGTGCATCTTGGAACTGAGCTATTTTTTTACATTAGTGGAGAGAAAAAATAATAGAGTTGAGAAAAGAAACTGTTACATTTGCATCTCAGAAAACCCAAACCGGAAATTCAATCAGAAAAGTTTAAGTGAAATACTGCTCTTTGCTCATCCATTCCAGATCCAAGGTTTAAAAATACACACATAGCTTTGTCACCAACTAGGTAAATGTGAATTATGCCGATTTGAAATGCTGTTGGATAACAATAATTAAAATATCATGTCATCTCAAAATTCGAAAAGACATTAACTAAAAATTCATCAGGCATTACATAAATCCAAAGATAGAAGAGCTCCTGATTCATACACTGTGTTGATGATAATTCTATGTGGCAATATGTACAGTACTTACCTTGGGAAAGGGGATCTTTTATCAATATTTATCCCTATGTAAGTTTTGAATCGTGCCACGTCTTCAATATTTTACCTTTTTCATAAACGTCACCGTACTGTACACATTTTCTTTCATTTTCTCAGCTACAGATCACACAGGTCTTGCCAAATACAGTTTAGCAGGGTCGTTCAGTGCACAGGTCTTGAAAGCAGACAAATATTCATTCTATCATTTACCATTATTATATTTTAGACAAATTGTGTTGCCGGACAGTGCTTCCACTGCCTCTTCTGTAAATTGGACACAATTATATTTTTCACACTTTAGTTAATACGGTGCTTGGCTTGAGATAAGAGTTCTCAACCGCCTGGCAATGGATAACTTCCTATCTGGCTGTAGCAGCCCCATTTTAGGAACTTTTCTCAAAGCAGCTTGAGGACTCCACAAAAGGGTGGGGCTTTGGCGTCTAACGCCCTCTACTAAACTCTGTGAGAGACACACACTGCCCGGGTTTGGGTGGAGTAGGAGCTAGCGCGTCGGTCTGTCCCCTAGCGGAGGCCAGACGCAGACGCCGGACTGCAACCTGCACACTGCGCCCCAGCCGCGCCCATTCTCCCCTTCTCCCCCTCGGCGGGTCGGCTCCGGCTATGAAAACACCACCTCGTGGCCAGCAGCCTTTGCGTCACACGCCTGAGCCCAATGGCGACCCGCGTCGTGAAGCCGGGGGCGGGTCGCCAGCAGGGAGGTTCCGCCCACAGACACCGCGGATTGGCCAAGAGGGCGGCACCGCCCTCAGCGACCTGGGCTCGTGGCCAATGGTAGCAGGCGGCAGGGGCCCCGCCCTGTCAGCTGCTTCGTTCTGAGGCTCCCCCAAGAGGGGCGGGCGCGAAGCCGGGAGGGGCGTGGCTAAGGCGGGGCGGGGCGGGGCCGACGACCCGGCCCCCGGAGCCGGCGCGGGCGGGCTGCTGAGGTGGCTGTTGCCGGCTCGGAGCTGCGGCTTCCCGGGTCGAGCCCCCGATGGAGGCCGAGGCCGCGGACGCCCCCCCGGGCAGGGTCGAGGCGGCGCTCAGCTGCTTCTCTTTCAACCAAGACTGCACGTAAGCCGCGGCGCCCGCCGCTGCCGGGGACACGGGGGACGAATGTCGTGACCAAGGGGTGTCGTCCTGTACGCGACTTGTGGCAGGAGAGTCGCGGGCCTGCGCCCCAGGAGGGCCTCGAGGGGACTGCCGGGGGCTGGTCCGTCGGGACGGGGTCCCGCTAGCCTCCCCCTCCCCCTGCAGGGGGTTAGACCCCCCAGCCCCCCACTGCCAGCAGAGGGCCGGGAGGGGCGAGGCTGCGAGTGAGCGAAGGCGGACGTGGGGCTGAGAAGGCTGAAGGCTGCGGACGGTGGGGACAGGAGGGGGGGGAGTAGTGACAAAGTGGGGGTCTGGGAAGGAGGGGCGGTGGCCAAAAACAAAGAGATGGGAGGGGAGGAGGAAGTAGCAAGTTGACCGAAAACTGTGTAGTTGGGGCCAGGAAGATGGGAGTAAGGGGAAAACTTTCCCATTTGTCCTTGAGCATCTCAACGTGGCATCTGGGCAGGGCCTCGGGCAAAGAGGCAGCCTATCCCTGTGGCCAGGCCAGCCCCTGTGGCCAGGCCAGCCCCTGCCCCAGCCCCAGCGCGGGCTGCCCGCTCTGGCTGTAGGAACCCTTCCTCTCTGTTTTCACGGCGCCCACCCAGCCGCGCAGAATCTCCTTCGCAGAGTCCAAGAGCCCTTTCCAGGGCTCAGACTACTCCCTCTCTCTCTCCAGGAAGCAGGAGCTCCACCCTGTTGTTTTTGAGTGGATTTTTAATGTTTTACTTGATGTTCACATGTGGGCTTTGGCCAGAGAGAGCTGGGGATGATTGCTAAACTATGTGTTTCAGGCATCTGCAGGGTTTTGTCTTTTAGGAGCAAACGCCTGTTTCTTTCCCACTTTTCGTGGAAGCGAGCTAGCTCTGGGGACCATATGGAATAATCTCTTTGGAATGTGCACCCCGAGCATCAGGCCGGGATGACCACTTCCCAGTTTCCCACTTCCTGCTGTACCAGTTTCTGTTGTGTTCCTTGTTTGAAGTCAGCTTCAGCCTGGCGCCTTGGCTGCTAGTGACTGAGCTATGCTAATATTGAACATTCAGTGGGGTAATTAAGGCCATCGTGTACCACAAGCAACCCTGGCTTCCATTCCCTTTGTGTTTCTGTCTAAAAACACCCCGTACTGAACAATATGCCTTTGTTTGAAAAAACTGTATGTGTAATCATGTAATCGAGTAGCTTGACAGCTTGGTTAGACGAGTGACTTTCAAGCTTTTCTTGACCACAAGCCACGATAAAAAATACCTATTACAACATCACCCAATACCCATGTACACATACCACTCATAAAATATTATGTGCAATACGCTCTGGTATTTTCTTCTTCTTTTTTTTAAAGCTGCTTGTGACCCACTGAATTGTTTTTAGGATCCACTCATGGGTTGAGACCTGCAGTTTATAAAAATGATGGAATAGATAAAAATCCCAATGTTTTATAAGAAACATTTTGCAAGAAGGCATGGCTTTTGAAATGCCTGGGTGATGTTTTCCTTCTCAATTGAACACAAGTGGCCAGGTACAGTGGCTCATGCCTGTAATTCTAGCACTCTGGGAGGCTGAGGCAGGAGGATCACTTGAGTTCAGGAGTTCAAGACCAGCCGGAGCAAGAGTGAGACCCTGGTCTCTACTAAAAATAGAAAAAATTAGACAGGTGTGGTGGTTTACGCCTGTAGTCTCAGCTACTTGGGAGTCTGAGACAGGAGGATGGCTTGAGCCCAGGAGTTTGAGGTTGTTGTGAGCTAGGCTGATGCCATGGCACTCTAGCCCAGGCAACAGAGTGAGACTCTGTCTCAAAAAAAAAAGGAAAGAAAGAAAAAAAGAAAGAGAAGAAAAGAACACAAGAAGGGGAATTAGTTTGCTTATAGGTAGTAAATATTCTAAGTTCTGCTTTTCAATATTATTACATTTGAAAAAATCATGTTAATTTTTATTCTAGTTATTAAATAATACAAAATCCCAGATCTCTACAGCAATTGGATAACAATGTTATTTTCAAAACTGTAGGGTGCTTTGAAAGTTATTTTCCTTACTCCCTACTGCTAGTTCTATTTTCTTGGATAAAGGCTCTGCTGGGCAGCTCTGTCTCGCCTATAAATAAAAGTTCTTGTCACAGTCAGTTGCTTTGAGCCACAGAAGGTATGACATTGGCTTTTAAAATAAGTCAAGCCCCTTACCTAATGCATTTAGGTGTATCAGTGTATCTTTTTCTATAAATGTAAGCTGGGTTTGGGAACTAGTATTTCTGGGAAAGTGGGTAAACACATGCTTGGCACTGTGCTAGACACTTTGAGTATATTTTAAAATTTGATTAGTGATATCAAACTCCATTCCCATGAGCAGTGATGAGAATTTTGTTTCCATAGAAAGTTCCTATGAATGAAATAAAGTCTGAGTTTGAATTCCTCAATTCAGTCATTTGTGGCCATTGATCTATAATTTAAAACATAATAGTGATCACCCTGCAATTTTCTCATATATAAAATTCTTCTGTTCCAAGAGCAGGGCTTATATTTGAAAACTACTTTAAATTTCGAACTCTTTGGGTTGATGTTATAAGACTCTAGTTACAGTATTTGTTTTCCTTACTTGCAAGCTTTATAAACCTCAGTTTGCGACTAAACTAGGCTATATATGTGTGTGAAAAAGTTTATGTGAAGAAGGTTTAGAAACAGTAATCACCGCAGAGTACATTTTGAAGTTTTAAGATTCTCTGGACTTTAACTTTTTCAGTTGCCATTTGTCATCATTAACACCGTGGTCCTGGACACCAAACCCCACTTCTAACTGCACACCTGCTCTTCAGCAAATGTGTGACACACCAGATTAGCTACTCAGCAGGTTGGAGGGCTAAGGGACATAACTAGCCACCTTGCTGATTAAAAACCGACTGTATTTGCCTATCCCTGTGTCTCAGGGAAGAACAAATGTTTGGGTAGAAAAAAAAACCCAGAGAAAATCATGTGCCCTTCTCTTTTTTAGGTTAGTGAAACAAGAGCCTTGGTCATTTAACCTTGTCGTAGTAGTAAGTTGTTTATTTTAGTATATGCTTCCTTGTGAAGAATGGATCTCACATTTGGCATACTTTAGTTTTATGAGGAGGAAGTTGGACTAAACCATGGTAAGGTCCATTCCAGCTGTGACATCCCAGTTTCCTGGGGTGGCAGTGCTCAGGGTCACACTGCTCATTCTGGGTGTGCTCCATGTCAGGTTCCGGTCATCTCCTAGTGTTAAAGGCAAAGCGTGAGAGAGCTGGGTGGGGATTCCCAGCTGCTGACCACAGTTGACTTTGATGTTCACTTTTATTATGAGGCCAAGGAAACCTGGATTCAGGTTTATCCATTGGTTGAAAGGTGAAAAAAAAAAAAAATTAAGAAAACAAGGGTTGTGTGTGTGTGTTTTGTTTCTTCAAAGCTACATCATCCCAGACAATATTTAGTTTTATTTTGTTTGTTGGTCATGAAGATAGCTTTGTAGAACATGGTAGAAAGCAGAGTTCTCAACCTTGGCTGCTCATTAGAGTACCTGAACTTTTATATTTTTAAATTAAATTTCCCAAATGAGCTTAATGTATAGCCAGGGGTGACACCTACTGGTATAAAGTATCTGGGATATTTTCATGGAAACTGATGAAAGAAAGCATCTATTAAATTTTACCTACTAATGACCTACTATGCCTACTTTGAATGTACATTTATTTTTTTAAGCAAAAAAAAAAAAAAGTCATGAAAGAAAAAATAATTTATCTCTTGGTAAAGTGCCTCTCAAAGAACAAGAAGACCCCCTAATTGTGTTGGAAGTAGAGCTATTATGAATATTCCTAAAGATTCCATTTTTCCTATATCTGCACAGGTGGAAAAACATGATGTCTAGTAGGTTTGACATTTTGTTTGATGGCAGGGCTCATGCAGTTTTATGTCTCTTGACATTTGTACCTCTCTTTTTTTTTTTTTAGTTGCGTATGACCTTTTTCCTTTTAATGTACCTGCCTGCCTATCAAGGCAGCTTCATCATTTAGGAAGTTATCAAGGATCTAAGCTCCTGAAGATGTGTGTTTACCTGTACCTTACAATGCTGGGGGAAGAGGGTGTCTATTTTCAGACAGATCCGTGGTTGGAATACAGTACCTATTGTCATTCCCATGCTGTCATTATCTCTCACAGATCCCTAGCAATTGGAACCAAAGCTGGTTATAAGCTGTTTTCTTTGAGTTCTGTGGAGCAACTGGACCAAGTCCATGGAAGCAGTAAGTTTGTGTGTGAGATCTCAGGGACACCAAATCCTTTCTCTAGACTTTAATCTGTGGTGCTACTAAGCTTTCTATTTTTCCCTCTCTTAACCATTAAATTGAAGGAGTCAGTATTTTTCAGATTTAAACATAATTATTAACCACTTGCTTAAAAAAACCATAATGAAGCACTTATTAAGATTTGGCAATAGCTTAAGTTACATTTTTATATTAAGAAATCTTTTGTTTGATATCATATTATTGGTATTTTTCCATATACTTATATGCATAGTCATTAATTTTTATAATTGTCAAACCAAAAGGTCACTTGTGACTTCTTATTGCCATTATATTAGCATTGTAGAGTATTAGTAACCTTCATTCACTCATGGAAGTATTTTTCTTGTTTTAATAAGGCAATACTATTCTATTTACATAGCCCATATCAAAGATGTTATAATATTTCTAGTGAATATTATAAGTAATTCAGCTTAGATATGTGACTTTCTTATTTTCTCAGGCAAATAGTTTATGCCATCATGATAGTGAAGAATATACAACCTTTGGGCTTCCTGGAAAGAAAGTGGTTTGGTAAATAATATATTAGGCTCCTAATTTATTTGCAAGATGTTATTTTTATTATACCATTTTCGTTAATATTTTGCTCTCTGTCTCCTGGTGTTCCCTGCGGGACTTGCCCAAGCACAAAAGACTCATATTTGAAAAGAATGTTCTCAGAAAGACACCAAGGCCTCAACCTGCGGGTGCTAGGAGACTTACTAATTTGCCTTCTTCCTAAGTACAGAAGTACTTCCTGGGTATAAAACTGATACCCAGATTGTTTTCAACAGGAAAGGGATTCCAGAGAGGGCTGAGGAGCACAGCAAGATGGAGAGGGGGAGTACAGATTTAACTATGGGACTGTCACCCCCTAAAGTGGCACCCCTTCTAGCAGGACTAGAAGAATTCTGGAAACAGGCTCCTAGCCGAGAAGGCACTCCTTTGAAATCTCTCACAGGGAAAGAGTAGATTGAGATTGTCCAGACCTTCCAAATGAGTTTTACAGAGCCAACAGGGGAGCCCTAGGGCCTGGAGGGGTGACTCCCCCACGCAGAAAGCTGCCCTGGTTGGGGGGAGGGGGAGCCAGGGTGGATCATCGTCATGGTATTAGTGCCCAGTCAGCAAGACCTGGAGAACATTCTCCAAACATGGCCTGCGCTGCACCCGGCCTCGTGAAGGCTGGAGTCCTTCTCCCTCCCTGAGCCACCCGCATAACCTTGCCGCCCGACTGCCCTTCCAGATGAAATCCCGGACGTCTACATCGTGGAGCGCCTCTTCTCCAGCAGCCTGGTGGTGGTGGTCAGTCACACCAAGCCGAGGCAAATGAACGTGTACCACTTCAAGAAAGGCACAGAGATCTGCAATTACAGCTACTCCAGCAACATCTTGTCCATAAGGCTGAACCGGCAAGTAAGTGGGGGAAATCCCTCAGGGTGTCAAGGCTTGTGCTAACGGGAGCTGGAGAAAAAGGTGGATGTCTTTAAAGAGGAATGTATTTAAAATCAGCATTCAACTCTAATGAGAATTTTAACGCTCAGGTCTAGGGATTTTGTAAACAAGAGTCTGCCCCACGTGCTTGCTATAGGGGTTTATCTTCCCTGGTCCTTTGGTTCATGCTTCCAGAATGTTGCCCACTGCCCAGCAAGGTGCACCTGCTCCCCTGGGGTGCAGCTGGGCACCAGCTGGGATGACTCATCCTGTGGCTCAGAACTGTCCCGTGAGCTACAGCAGGGGCACCTTAAACCAGAAGAGTGCCCCTTCTGGATTTGGCTCTAAACAGTGACGTTCACTGCAGTTGCTGGTAATGCAGATGCCTGAGGACAAAGTGTGGGCCTTGGGGTCAGTAAAATGGCTTCTCCTGCCATCCCTTGGGCTGTCCTTGCAGGCCAGCTGTTCAGTCTCACATCCCTATTCTTTTTCCCAGCTAACCCTTAAAGATTTTTCCTTGTAGTGTTTTCTTTGTCGAAGAAAGCATTATTCTTAAATAGGCAATACATTCTCTTTAAAAATATAATTTCTTGTTCAGTAAGTATTGGGGTATTAGCAATTAGCAGATTCCTCCTTGAATTCCCGGGTTTTCTAGCCTGTGAGAGCAGGGACCGTGTCAGCGTTGCTCATGGCTGTAAGACCTGGTCAAAAAGGCAGTGGTTGGTAGAAAAGTGCTCCTAAGTATCTGTTTCCTGACTGACCATGAAATGAGTGTATAAACGAAGAGGTTCCTTGCATGACCATGCAGATCTGTCTGTTCAATTAAGTATTCCTGGGGAGGTGGAGGTTGTTGCATTCATTGAGAACAATGTTGTTTTCTGGTCTTTGCATCTAAACTATTAAGTACTAATTAATTTTTTTAACAGATGAAGCAAAGTGCTTTCTTAAGTTTATGAGAAGGGAGACATTATTTCTTCTAGTTTATCACCTGTTTTGATTATCTGCTGAGGTCCATATAAAGCACTGTGGTCAGGCTGGGCACAGTGGCTCACACCTGTAATCCCAGTACTTGGGGAGGTCAAGGCAGGAGGATCACTTGAGCCCGTGAGTTTGAGACCAGCCTGGGCAACATAGTGAGACCCTGTCTCTACAAAAAATAATAAAATACTAGCCGGGCGTCGTCTTGCATGCCTGTAGTCCCAGATGCTCAGGAGTCTGAGGTAGGAGATTGCTCCAGTCTGGTTGTTTGAGGCTGCAGTGACATCTGATCATTCCACTGCTGTCCGGTCTAGGGGACAGAGTGAGACCCTGTCTTCAAAAAAAAAAGTGAAAAGAAAAAGCAGTATGGTAGAAAATAGATGGAAAAATAAGGTGGGTATTTTTAAGCAGGGAGAAGTAAAGAAGAAAAGAAACTTGAGTTCTTGGCAAGGGAGGGAAAGGCATTTGAGAGTTTTCAACTTGAACCTTTTAAGCAAAATTCTTGACTCAAGTGCTTTCTCTGAAATCTATTGGTAACACGTTAAGTTTCATTTCAGAACCTTTTTTTAGATTTTTACATAGCCAGCACATAGAGGTTAAATGTCTTTTTTTGGCACCTGACTATCTTTTTAAGATGATTTAGGCAAATGTTCTATAAAGATCAGAACTCTCAAATAGAATCTGTTCTATTTATTTATATAATTTCTCTCTTTCTCTCTGGTATTTTCACTAGAAAATGGGACAAGGAAGGATTATTCAAGTGTCCGAGCCCATTAACCTTTAGGTGCCAGCCTTCCTGCCACACAGCACTCATTAACTTGGAGCTCCTCCACCCCTCCCCCGTGCTCTAGAGAACACGGATGCACCTAGAACTCCCAGCAATTCATGGCAAAGGTCATGAGAACCCACATCTAACAGTTCTCCCTTCCTTTAGCATTTCTGCTCCTAAGAAAATGGTTTGAAACCAGTGTGAAAAGTATTTAAGGTTTGCTTTTCTTAAAACTTTCATACTTAACTTTTGGTTTAGGGGACTCAACTGCCACGACCCCTCTTTGCCAGGCAGTGTCCAGCAGAGCTGCCCGAGTACTCCGAGGGAATGCAAGGCCCCATGTCCCCTTCTTTGGTAGTCAGTCCTCTACTTCATCAGATCTTCAGACAGTGCAGTTGTTTTTTTAAAAAAAAAACAGGAAAAAAATTAAAGATTTGTATAAAGAGGTATAGGAGTACAGAATCCCTATTTTCTAAGCATAAAGGAGGAACACTTAGGAATGGTCATGTTTCATTTTTAGTTGATTGTTATTTCCCTTGTATTTAATTGAGGAAATGTGTTTTATGGAGTAAAGACAATAAACCAGATATAGACATGCAAACTTTTATAGTCCTGTGACCATTTGCTCCTAGGGGCCCTTGTTATCCAGATGGAAGTCGATTGGATCAAAGGCCTCTGAGGCCAAATCAATGGTTGCTCAAGGGCAGATGCTATAAATATCTTTTAATTGATAAAAGTAGTTGTAACTTATCAAACCTAGAACAGTAGATAGAAGTCAAAGTGACAGGGAATGAGCTGAGTTGAAGGCAAGGCCATGGTTCTGCTGAGATTGAAAACTGAATGTTAAAAAAGCAGTTAGCAGGGCTGTGTCCACCTAAGACGTGTGCTCTCACGTGAACCAAAACGAGGGGCCTCCTGGTCCCCGCCCCCCCCCAGCATCTCCTGTCTGTTTCCCTCTCTTTTTAGTCCTATCTGCAGCCAGCTTGGGGGTGACCTGAAATTCAGCTGAGTGGGCTGCCCAGCGGATGGCGCTGTTGGAGCTGGTGGGAGACGAGCAGCTCAGACCAGATGAGCCAGACGCAGGTGCCCATCCTGCAAGAGGCACACGCTGGGGCCTCCGCTGTCCTGGGGGTTGATGGTGGGGCTTGGAGAGGACATGAGAGGGGATCAGAAACCTCAGAACATAAACTGGCACAGAATAATGTAGTCCAGACCATGGTATGTGCTGGCAGAAGGCAAAGCGATTGGGTAAATCAGAGAAACATGTCATCAATTTTGAGACCCTGTTAGAATTTTTTTACCCCTCAGCACCCAGTCTCAGACATATGACAGAGCCTTAATTAAAATTAAGAAAGGTATTTACATTTTATTTTTCTGCTTGGTTGAAGTTGATGGTCTCCATCTTTCTGAGCTGTGAGGTACCTTAGTGGGAAAACAACAGAGCCGGCTTTTCCCGAGAAGAGGGACTGGCTCTTCTTTTGGTGGTATTCTTAGGTACTTTCCCTTCCAACTGATGTTCCTTGGGCTAAAAGGAGGTGGCCTGGGATCAGTGGTTCTCAAACCTTGGTGTGCAGTGTCATCACCTACGTACTTGTCTAAAGACACCCCCGTCTCCGAGCCAGAATCTCCAGGAGGGTCCAGGGCTTGCTGCTTGGGTGGTTCTGGTGTTCATCCAAGTCTGAGAAACTCTAGCCTCGGGGAAGCCGAGTCAGGCGTGTGCAGGGGTGGTAGGCAGCTGCTCAGAGTGTGCCGGACCAAAAATGCCTTCCCGACACCTCCTCACCAGCGCCGACACTGCACTTGTACTGGGCTACGCATTATAGTCCTTTAAACACCCAACACGTTAGCCCCGTGACCCTGTGTTCACTTAGCAGAGAGCACAGCCATTGGGAAGAGGAAGAGAAGGGGCTGACGGCACTCGGAGGAGGACACCAGAGAGGGGAGCCCAGCAGGGCACAGGGTACTGGGTGGGGTATTAATGTGAGGGCTGACAGCCTCCTGCAGTTCCCATTACTGGGGCTGCAGAAAGTGGCCCCAAAGCGGGCCTGGAGGAAGCTTGAGTGGAAAGGAGTTAAAACTGGTAATTATTTGAGGAGGGAGGAAACCTAAGATTTGGCGATAGAGAGCAAAGAAATTCACATAGGTATAAGAGGGAGACCTGTGTTACAAACATTGAAAGCCAAAATGTCAGATGGGAATAGGAACCAAAGAGATTACTGGAAATTGTCTTAAATGGCAAAGGAAGTCTGATTCAGGAAGTGTTTTGGAATCTCTGTTCAAAGGAGAGAGGGCGTTTCAAAAAAAAAGAAAGAAAAGAAAAAGAAATCTTAATTTCTAAATAAAATGTCTTGAGATTTTGTATTTTATGCTCCTGTTCAGGTGGATAACGCTGTGTGTGTGCGCCCACATGCACACATAAACATAATCTTCAAAAGGCATCATCGGAATCCCTTCTCCTTTAGGCTTAGTATCAAGTTAGGACTCATTTCGAGGAACCAGTTCAGTAGACTGATGATTCTGTGTGTGTGATTACAGAGGCTGCTAGTTTGCCTGGAGGAGTCCATTTACATTCACAACATTAAAGATATGAAGCTGTTGAAGACCCTCCTGGATATTCCTGCAAACCCAACAGGTGAGCTCCAGACACCCTTCAAATCTCACGTCCACGTCAGACACCCTTCAAATCTCACGTCCACGTGCTGCTTTCCCAAGCTATGTTTCCACCTAAACTGGAAACATGGAGCAGTGTTTTTGCTTTATGAGTCTTCGTGGTATTTACCCTGAGGCTCTGTTTCAATGGTGGCAGCTTCAGATTATGTTAGCCTGTGTGTCCTGCAAGAGGGCTGTGTGGCTTTCACTGCAGCCCAGGAGAAATACAGTCGATCATCTGGACTCCATGGCAGCAAATGTGTCAAGACGTTTAAGGTAGACACATGGGAGATTTCATGCATCTGATGTTGAAAGGTATGTACTCCTAATTGTTTTTTGTGGTCGTTCAGTACAGAGTAGGTGTAATAATTAGAAGCAGGTTTCGCCTTGGCGTGTCTGCCTGGCTCGGAGAAAGACAACGCAGACCGTAACGAATGTGTTTCATTACATTACAAAGAAATCTCTGTACCTGGGTGATATGTTATGATATTGGACTTTACTAAATTCTCAGGATTTAATGCTATTAACATTTCTGGTGTTTAAGAATGAGAATAGTTTAGATGTGTTAGATTGAAACAGCAGATGATGACATTTTATGAATTCACTGAGCTAGAAGTAAATGAGAAAGAATTCCGTCTTATGTGGTGAGATGGGACGTCATGATACTAGGATAATTTGTGTATCTAATGATTCAGTTTACTATGTGTAGATTATATTCCAATTTAGTCTCATTATATAACTGCTTCCATTACTGTAGTTTTCTAATTCTTTGATTTTCATTGAATTTCAAGATCTGTGTGGCCCCACCCAAGTCACCTAGACTTTCTCAAGCCTCAGTTTCCTTATCTGTAAAATGGGATAATAATACCCATCTCATAGGATCAGCTGAGAATTAAACAGAGTAACGTTTGCGAAAGTGACTAGCACCAAGCCTGCCATGCAGTGCATATTTCCTATGCCTCTTTTCCTTCTCTTCATTTCAATTATATAAATGGCCATTTGCTGATCATTTCAGTGCTTTAAAATTTCAGCCATGACAAAATGTTGTTTTAAAAGGACAAAAGCCATTATAAGGCCGTTATAAAGTTCCGTGAGCTAAGTATTTAAAGCATATTCCTCAAAATGGAAGGTGGTAAATGAAGAAACTGTGGGTGGTAAGTGTTTGGTTTGAGGCATGAGATGTTGAAATGATCTGGAAAAGCAGCTATCGCAGGCACACCATGTGCCTGGCACCATAGCAGGCGCTGTCAGGAACAGAGACGGCAGCCCGCGCCGGGAACCCACAATCTAGCTGGCACGGGTTCCCCAGGTGCTCTCGCAGGCCTTGGCAGGGGTGGAACCAGTGTTTAGCTGTGGACAGCTGAAGGGAAGATGTGCTTTTCTGGTAGGACACGAAGGCACCTGAACCTACACAGGGCTCGGAAGGCACAGCTTGTGCTGGACCTTGACGGATTTGGGCAGGGGTGGACAGCCGCCTGTGGCTCTCAGGGTCTTTGAAGAAAGGGGAGTGGGGGACAGGGAGTGCTGCTTCCTCCCTCACACCTGGCGAGAACTTGACCCCCAGACAACAGGGCTGCTTGGGGACCAAGCACACTGTCCCTGCAAACGGGGACATATCTCCCCATTTGCTCTTATTTTTTAGCAAATATACTCATTTTTCTTCAGCACAGAAAACTCATCGGTTGTCTCACTTTTTGCAGCTTAAACAGGAAGGAAACAGGGTTTAAAAATGCAAGGCCATGTGTATGCCATGTTAGAGAGAATGTGTATTGTTTGTAAAGGGAATTACTTTTATCGCAAGAAAAATTAGAAACAATGGGAGGCACTTTCACTGTCTCAGATAAACATCACAAAAGGATCCAGGGATAGATTGGGCTTCTCCGTCTGAAAGACCAGGGGCGGGTGGACCCAAACGTGTCTCTTTAGATCTTTGATGTTCTTTGGAAAAATAGCCCAAATCCTCACATTTGTAATTATCACCCCAACTTCTCCTGAGCTCCCTTTTTACTTGAATAAAACAGAGACGACCATTTTTAGCCCCCTGAGTGGCTGTGGAGAGAATTAGCTGAGGTCCTGGTGTCAGAGGGCACAGGTGTGTCCACTCTGTCTGCTCGGGGTGGGGGTGTCCCCTGGGCTCACTCACCGTCCCCCAGAGACCCACGGGGCAGCTCATATGAGCCAACGCTGCGCTTCATTGGCATGGCCGGTTCCTCGGGAACCTTCAGAGGTCTCTGAACTGTCAAAACCATGAATATGCAGTCCTCAGAGGCCAAGGGTCTTCGTGTGTGTTCTCATCCTCTATTTTATTTTCTGAACAACAAGAGAAATAAGATGGCAACTCTGGCTCTTGACTTTATAAATCCTTACTGGGCACACAAGGGAGACAGAATTGCTTGTCTAATTGGCTTTGGCACACAAATTCTGAATGTATTTTGACCTAGCGAACTACAAGTAAATTCCATCTACAGAGTTCTGCTGTGGCCTCATTTTTAGTATCTCACGCAGCTGTAAATTTCCTTCCTTCTATCTGTGTCTGTGTCATGCCCATTCCTGTTGTGTCAGAGATTGCAGGCTGTTTCCTTTACAGAGTTTGGCCAGACAGGAGCTCAAAGTTAATTTCCTGATAGCACAGCAGTCGTGCACTGAGAGACCGATCAAAGGTGGAAATCTCCATGAAACTCCTGCCAGGGACAGAACTGGGGGCCAGGGGCTTTGCAGACCTGACCACCCTTCACGGGACATGGGGGGTCGGCATTCCGTGCCCCACAGCCACGTGGATCGTAGAACACAGTCGTGGTTTATACCCCCCATAAGTCCTCTTTCTGCAAATGATAATTTAGGTGGTGTAAAGGGGTCCCTTTTGTGGTAGCATATAGCATTTGCTGTACAGAGATGATTTCGTTCCTTTCTATTTTTGAAAATTGGAAAGCATATTTTGAGACATTAATCAACTCTCAACGGGGCCTACATTTTATAAATCACTGTTAACTTGCCTAAAGTTTGGCATGTAATACCATAAATACCAAGGTGAGAGGGATTTAAAATCATGGGACTTTCTTCTAATTCCAGCTGATTCCATTGCTTTTTAACTTGATAGATAGCAGGTACTTCTTTTCCAGCTGTAGAAGAATTACAGCCAGACAATTTCGGTGAAATTATAGCCAGCAATGATTTATGAAAATATGTGTCAAATCTAAAATAAATCCAAACGCCCCATCAAATCTCGTTCCTATATAGAAAAAAGACTGCATGAAAATACGCTCAAATGTTGTGAGTGTTAAAAATAGCCTCTGGGTTTTAGAATCATGGGTGATTTTTTTTTTCTCTTTCTTTATATTTTCTGGGCTTTGGGAGTTTTCTACACCATTACTTTTATGTTATAAAATAATGTTTTTTAAAGCCCATTTCCTTCCTTGAAAGGGCTTTTGGTTACACCTGTGACAGAAACAGAAGACTAGCAGAATGGTAATAGCTAAGGCAAAAAAAAAAAAAAGTATTCCCGCTGGCTTTGGCTGCTTCACAAGGTAGAAAGACACAATCACGGAGCCAGTTGGATTTTTCTGAAACCTGGACCGTGGCCAATGGAAGGAAGTCACGGCAAGCATCTCTGGGGACCTTCATTAAGTCTGCGAGGGTTGGCGTGCAGATTCCTTGGCTAAACTCAGATGGATTGGTAAAGGCGAGAGCCCCAAGGCAAAGCTGTCAAATCAGTGGCGTGTGTCAGCGCGAGCTTCCGCACCCGTCGTCCCCTGTCCCTTTCTCGTTAGCACCTGGGTTCGTCTAATTCTATTTTAGGTATCACAGGAAGTTCAATGTTAGCTAAAGAAAAGTGTAAGCCTTTCTTTCTCTCTGGGATATTTATATTTTAACACAAAACTCTGAAGGACGACTGGTAGTCTTTGTCCAGGGCTCCTGCTCAGAGACCTCTCGGCTCTCTCTGCCGCAGAGATGTGCTCGGTATTTTCTCAGAGGGAGGAAGTGAGTAGATGAAAGTGTGGCCTCTCGGAATGTCAAGCTGGAAAGACCCCCAGAGCACTGCGGCCGCTTCATAGCGCAGCTAGGAAACAGGCATGAAAGGGCCACAGGTCACTCGGCAAGAGTTACCTGGCACACGGCAGACCCTGGTCTCGAACTCCTGTCCTCAGCCTGTCTCTGCCACATAAGTATTCATAAAACACTGCCTTAAACACACACACCCACACACACACACACCCCACCTTTATCAAGATATAATTTATGACTGACCTCTTTCACTTTCACTTAACCTGATATTTTCAAGGTTCATCCATGTTGCAACATGTATCAATAGTTAATTTCTTTGTATTACCAAATAATATTCTATTCTAAGGATATACCACAATTTATTTATCCATTCACCAGTTTATAGACCTTTGGTTTGTTTCCAATTTTTGCCTTGTGAATAATGCTGCTATGAATCTGTTTACAAGTTTCTGTGTGGACATATGTTTTAATTTCTCTTGGGTATATCTGTAGGAGTGTAATTTCGGAGTCACATGAGAACTTTCTGTTTAACTTTTGAGGAACTGCCAAAAGTTCCAAAGAACTGCCCCATTTGACATTCCCACCAGCAGTGTATAGGGTTCCAATTTCTCCAAATCCCCACTGACATTTAGCATCTGTCTTTTTTATTATAGCCATCCTAGTGGGTGTGGAGTGGTATCTCATTATGGTTTTATCAGTGCTTTTTAAAAAACATGTGTGCTCAGAACCTTTCAGCAGTCACCTGCTGCATTTGAAAGATCTTAATTCTTTAGTTTGGTGCTCAAGCCCTTTTAAGGTTGCCATATTTTATTAACATCTTTTGTGCCAACCCCCTCTGTGGGAACCCACCCTGTGAGCCACCCTGATCTCCTGCTTTCCTTCCCCAGTTTCTCTGAGACTAGAATGCATTCTCCGCTGAGCTGTTCTTGAAATTACATTTGAATCACAAATAACTCAGAGGGGATGGGGAGTGGGGCTTCCCAGAGCGAAACTGGGAAGGTATGAGTGGCCTTTTCTAAGGCTGGGGTCAGGAATGGCCTTGTACATCCATGGGATGGCAGGGGTGCCATAACACGCGGTTAGGGGTGCCTGCCGGGGCTTGGCCACCTTCCTCCTGTGGTCTGCTTGGCAAGTGATAAGAATACAGCCCTGCTGAGTACGCAGCAAAGCCCGAGCAGGAAACAGGACATAGGTTCCAATTCTAAACTTTTTTTTTTTCTCTGCTCTGTTTCCTCAACAGATTAGGTAAGGTACATTTCAGCCTGATCTAAAGTTTTTCTTATACTCTTATAAGAAGCCCACTTAACATACTAACTTATAACAAAGATATCAGTCCCCTTTTATATGTAAAAAGATATTTCTCTTGGGTAATCTCAAATCTCCTATTCTGGCATTCTGGTATTTGGTTCTTCAGAATCCCTTGAGTTCACTACTGTCATGTATACCTCCATTAATCTAAACCATTGTTGTGAAAATCCTTTTCTTAAACGCTGGGAATCCTTATCCCCGCCGGCTTAAGTCCCTTTGTAAATAAAAGTAGCTAATTTGGTTCAATGGTTTGATGGGCTGTTTACTCTCTCAGAATATTGTGGAAGCATCTTAAATCCAAAACGTCCTCTGTATTTGGTTTGTTTCGATGACTGGGCACACCATCGTGACTGCAGAGGCAGACCTCAGATGAACTTCCGCCTCCGGAGGTGCCCATTTCCCTTATCAGGGCAGGGCGTTCAGCTCAGAAATGAGCAATTTCTAAATAGATCCTTTGCTCTTCCTCTTCTCCAACTTGCAATTACTGGCCAACTGTATATATTCACCTGCAGAAATACTAATACCCAGTGACCTTTTGCAACAGGAAGGTTCATTTCAGTTACGAGTAAATCCTCGTGTAGCCCTAGAGCAGGAAGGAATTGGAAAGGAAGTAGATAGATGTTGTTTCAGAGGCCGAGGGTAAAATGTGAAGATGAGCGTTTTTAATAGTCTAAATCCTTATTGCTTAGTGGTGAATAGGACATGGCCAGTGTTAAACCAGGAGTTCTTCCCTTGTGGATTTCCTTTATTGGAGTCCTTTGATCTGCGTGATAATCAACAGAAAGTAAACGTCTGCGAAGCCGTTCCTCTCCTCGCCAGTAGGTGGCACTGTAGCCGTGCTGTTTTCAGACGCTCGCGTCTGTCTCCCTTGCGGGCACCCTGGCCATTCATGTCCTGTTTCTCCTTTGCCAGGTCTATGCGCCCTCTCTATCAACCATTCCAATTCTTACTTGGCCTATCCTGGAAGCCTGACTACAGGCGAGATTGTGCTTTATGATGGAAACTCCCTGGTAAGTCCACAGGGGTCCCGCCTACCCCAGCCCGCCTGCCTGGGCTGGGGTGCTGGATGGAAGGAGAGACAGAGGCCCCGTCGCAGGGGGTGAGGAGCAGAGGCGGAAGCAACACGGGGAGTTGTTCTGGCCATCACGGGTGGGTGTGGAAGAGAAGGTAATGGCATTCGCTCTCGGGCTTGCTGTGGGCCCACGTAACCAAGAGGCAGCGGGCCAGGCCGAGTCAGACATCCGCAGCACGATGGAAACTGCTTGCCAGCTGGTGGCCGGTTATCCGATTGAATGTGTCACACCGCACGTGTCCTGGTCTGAGACAGTGGGACAGGACTGCGGGGGTCCTGCCTGCTCCGTGTGCCGCAGGGCGTGCCCACGACAGCATGGCGGAGCGTCAGGCGCACGGTTGGCTGTCCACCTTCCCAGGGGCAGGAAAAGGGGCAGAAACTCATGGCCGTTGAAGCCGAATCGTGATACGCTGGAGAACGAGGCCCGGCTCCTCTGCAGACGGTCTGGTGGAAAGGGAGACAGAGCGAGCCTGGCAAATGAGGAAGAAAGAAGAAAAGAGGAAGGAGAGGGAGAGGAAAGGCATCTTCCCTCTTCCCTGGCATCCATATCCATTTTTCCTTTCCACCCACAGAAAACAGTCTGCACTATTGCTGCCCACGAAGGGACCCTGGCTGCCATCACCTTCAATGCCTCGGGCTCCAAACTGGCGAGCGCGTCTGCAAAAGTGAGTGCATTCCCAGCATATCCTCCTGTCTGGGGGTCTGCTGGACGTCTCCCGAGGTGCCTGGAGATCTGATGGCACGAGCCTGGTGACATGAAGACCGACTGGTCTTTGGGGCACTTAGGATTTGTTTCAAAGTGAGAATTTCTGGCCCCTGTGTGTTGTGGTATATTGAGACATTTGTTAATTCAATAGAACAAAGGCCTGTGCTGCACAAGATATAAGACATTTTGCATAAAAACTTGTGGCCCTATCAAGAATTGTGCATTCATATCATCCATAGATACAGATAGATGTGACATTTCATAAACAAACAAAATGCTACTTAGCTGCAGAGATTGAGCTCTTTTGACCGGAATAATCAGGGAAAGTGATCAAGTTGAATTTTAAGTGCCATGAAAAGCAGGTGTATTTAGATAGGCAGAGATTGAGTATTCTAGAAAGCCAGCCAGAGCAGTTTGGCAAACTCACAGGCGCACACACACACACACACACACACACACAGACACACACATAGCCTTGGGCAGGGGTGGGAGGGAAAAGGGAGACTGAGTGCGTTTAAAGCACGTTCCAAGAGTTGCTAATATGGCACATATACAAATAAAAATGCCTCCATGCTCGACACTTAGTGCTTCTTCCTCAGAGACAGATGTTCAAAACCCATGAGACAAACTCTTCTCTAAAGGGACGTCTCTGTGAAGCCGTTAGTGGTTATGAAACAGCCACGCGCTTTCTTTTCCAGGGCACCGTCATCCGGGTGTTCTCCGTACCTGACGGGCAAAAGCTCTACGAGTTCCGGAGAGGGATGAAAAGGTCAGTGTTCAAACCCGTTTTAAAGTCCCCACAGACGTCCTGCAGGGGCTGCTGGCAGCTATCTGGGGAATGTGCCCAGGGTGGCTCCGTGCCCTCGTCTCTCCCGGAGGAAGTGTAACTGTACTTTCCCGGGTAATTGACTTCCAGGTTCCGCTTGGGGCTCAGTAAGACTGAAAGCGGAGACGCCGTTATAACGGGGAGTTCAGCCTTCGGAGTCCTTGCTTGATGTGTGCATGGGCAGCAGCACAGGAGAAATGAAACGGCCAGGGAGTCACAGTTCAAAAATAATTTCTGATTCCCTTGCATGGAAACAAAGGACAGCGTAAAGTGTGATTGTTGGGGATCTTAATGGATGTAGGGTCTGCAGCTGGATCGGGGCACAGAGCAGCTGGAAAACTCCCAAGGTGCCAGGAAGGCGCAACTCTTCCCATCTGGTGACAGAGAGGCAGGGCTGTGCCTGGTTTCTTCTTGCACAAGACGGTGACCCTCTGTGTATCTTTCTGATGTTAATTTCTAAATACGAGTAACACAAGGTTGAAGGGATTTTACAGTACGTAGGCTCTTCAGGATGCATTTAATTTTCTTACAAAGCTGATCTTTGAACTGCAAGGCAATAACCCTCAATTCAGGCTCACGTCCTTGTGTTGCTGTGTTTCCAGGTATGTGACAATCAGCTCTCTCGTGTTCAGCATGGACTCACAGTTCCTCTGCGCCTCGAGTAACACCGAGACCGTGCACATCTTCAAGCTGGAGCAGCTCACCAGCAGGCAAGTACGGCAGCGGGCACCAAACGCCCATCAGCTGGAGGAACCAGGGGCCGGCCTAAGCGATTTCTTTGTTAGAATGCCAGAAATTTGGCTTTACTTGTGTCTCCACCAAAGTGGTGGAGTGTGTGTTAGTAAAACTTCAGTGGTAGTACAAAATCAGGGGCCACACTCCTGAGATCACATCTTGGCTCTGCCCCTTGGGAGCTGTGAGACCCTGGGGAGATAATTTAATCTTTTTGTATTTCAGTTTCCTCATCTGTGAAACAAACATGATAATGTATTTGGGCTTGTTTGAGGATTAAAGGAGTCTGTTGACCTAAAGCATTTAGTACAGTGCCTGGCACATAGTAAGCACTGATAAGAGTGAGCCAGTGTAGCTGTAGATTTAGTAATATTAATATATTTATTATTGCTATTAGCACCGCCACCGAGTGCTTGGCAAACACTCCCATGGGGATGTGTATTAAAGCCTGCATTAGATTGTAGCCAGTGGTGTGCGTATTGGATTCCCGTTGCCGCCACCGTAACAAATTACCACAAACTTAATGGCTTTGCACAGCACACATTTATTATTCCACAGTTCTGTAGGTCAAAAGCCTGGGATGGCACGGCTGGGCCCTCTGCTCAGGGCCTCACAAGGCTGAGAGGGAGATACCAGCCAGCTGCGTTCTCCTCCGGAGCTCGGAGTCCTCTTCCCCGCTCACTCCTGCTACTGGCAAGAGCGCTGGTCCCCGTGGTTGTAGCTGTGGGGTCCCCGCTTCTGTGCTCACTGTCAGCTCCGACAGGCCACCCACGTTCCTTCTCCCTCAGCCTTCAAACCAGCAGCATCACGTCAACTCCTTCTGGCGCCTGGATTTCCCCGGCTTGCCCTCTGCCTGCCTTCTCTGCCGCTGTCCGAGACGGCTCTCTGTTCTTAAGGGTGGGCAGGGTCGGATTGAGTCCACCTTGTCAACCTCCCTGCCTGAGGTCAGCGGGGGCACATGCACCACACGGTGACGGGACTGCTGCCTTGTCACCGTCACAGGGACCAGGAACCAGGGCGTGGAATCTTAGGGGCCACTCCTAGAAATTCTGCCTGCCATAGTGTGCACGCACCTGTTCATGGCCATTGAGGACCTGCTGGGCACGTGACCATGTGGGGTCACCTTGGGGTTGCTTTACGCCAGAAAGTGGTGAAGAATTCTCCTCCCTCGCAGCTATCGTCCTCCGCAGTGTCACTTTGCCCATCCCCCTCCCAACACAGCCTAGATCCTGATTCTGGTAGCACAGTTGGTGGCTCACGCCCTTCCTCAGGGGGTTCAGGCACCTGTGTCTCTTGACACGTCTCTTGAGTGTCATTATAGGACACTGGAACATGACGTTTTAGTGCTTTGCTCAGTCACACTCTGAAAGCAGGTGGCAGGGTTGGCAGTGATGTGACACTTGTGCATCCACAGCGTCTCATAGCTCGCACAGCGTTTTCCACACTTCCTGCCTTGGTCCTCCACGGCGTGGCTAGAAGACGGGCAGGGCGGGAGTGTGACAGCTGAGGAAACTGAGGTCCAGAGTTCGATGTCTTGCTCAAAGCCAGGCTCTGTCTCCAAGCCCGGAGTCCACATACAAGGGCACATGTTATACCCTTGCCGGCTTCCTCAGAGCAGCCCCAGGGCGCAAACTCTGGGGACATCTCTAGTCAGCGTCCCAGGTACACAGTCTGGGCTGGGTTTCACAGCTGTACCAGGGAGGCCTCTCTTGGGATTGAAAGAAGTTCTTCTCCCCCTAATGTGGTAGGACTTCCATGAGAAAAATACTTTTTCCACATAATTAGTACAATATAGTACCCTGCCTCTGTGTTATGTATGTGTTAGTGTGTGTCAGTATGATGTGATGCCAGCCTCTATCACGTGTGTGTTAGTGCGTGTTAATATGATGCAGTGCCTGGCCTATGTCCCTCCCTCTTCTTTTTTGTTTAAGACAGAGTCTCACTCTGTTGCTGGGCTAGAGTGCCGTGGTGTCAACCTAGCTCACAGCAACCTCAGTCTCCTGGGCTCAAGTGATCCTTCTGCTTCATCCTCCCGAGTAGCTGGGACTACAGGCATGAGCCACCATGCCCGGCTAATTTTTTCTATATGTTTTTAGTTGGCCAATTAATTTCTTTCTATTTTTCTAGTAGAGACAGGATCTTGCTCTTGCTCTTGCTCAGGCTAGTCTAAAACTCCTGACCTCAAGCCATCCTCCCGCCTCGGCCTCCCAGAGTGCTAGGATTTCAGGCGTGAGCCACCACGCTCAGCCTGTCCCTCTCTCTTCTGAAACTCCATCCAAAGGCACCAGCGACCAGGCCAGCACGTGCAGCGGGTTTTCAGTCCTGCTCCTGCCTGTCCTGCGGGCCAGCGTAGTGCGTGTGAGGCACTCGTCCTCTGGAAGCCTCGTCCCCCGCGGTGTTGAGACGCCGGGCTGTGCTGGCTCACTTCTCACAGCCCTCTCACTCGCACCTCTGCGCAGGTGTGTCCCAAAGCTCATCGTGCGCCCCGACGTTCTCCTTACTCTGCACACTTTGCCCAGAGACTGTACCTACTCTCTAGATCTGTCACTTGTCATATGGTCTCGAAAACTGAAGCCCTGATCTCTTCCGGAGCTTTAATGCGCCATCTGTCATAGTAAGTTTGAGTGCAGGAGGGTGCTGAGCTGTTCTGGTACCTTCCACCCGAGGTTTCGCAGCTGAGGGATCTCAAACCGCTGCTGCGGTTCTGTCTCCCTCTGGGTTTGTTATCAGGGTGTAAGATCCGTTTCCCGCTGCAGACTCCTGCGCTGAGAGTGACCACAGGTGACCAGGAGCAGAATCTCTGCCCCACGTCGTTTTGGGATCTCCCCTCAGCCTGTCCGTGGGGTGCTCCTGTGTCCTGGACCATGGGGCCACGATGGCCTCTTCCGTCCTGTTTCGCCGGCCACTGCCCTTAGCCACGTCTTCAGCTTCTCTTGCCGGTCCACGTCATTACTCTCATATTTGACCTCTTTCCAGTCTCTTCTTACCAGTCCATCCTCTATCTTCTTGCCAGATTCATCTTCTGAAAATGCTCCTTTGAATATGACACATCTCCTCAGAAACCTGTGCTCCCATTGTCCTTGGGGATAAAATTCCCAGCTCCTCCCCTCCCTTCTCCTCCCCGATCCTGGGCTCTGGGTCAGACCTGCTGCAGAGCCCCATGGCCACCCCTCCCCGGAACCTCTCCAGTGCCCCCAGCCCGAGACACCTTCTCACAAAACAGCGTTGACCTCTACGCAGCATCTTTAGTTCTCCCAGTGGCTACAGTGGCAATCCCTGTTTTCCAAACGAGGAAATGTGGAAACTGGGAAGTTAAGGAGCCTCCTCATCTGCCTCTATTTCCTCTGTGGCCCTAGAGAAGCTCCCGCCTGTGCATTTATGTGGCGCCATACATTAACTGCTCATGGGTTGTTTTTTTGTTTTGTTTTGATGTATCCATGCCTCCACCCAGAATGCGGGCTCTGTATGTTATACCTCTTTGTAAATCCCAACCCAGAGCACAGGGCTCTAGGGCAGTCAGTACCGGGATGTCTCGTGCTGCCTCAGATCACAGAATCACAGTAGTACAGTGTCATTTCAGATGAGAAGGTCAAAGCCCAGAGAGGTTTGTCCCCAGACCGCCGAGCCTGTTGGTAACACAGGGAGGAGCAAGTGCAGAGCTCTGAGCCGCAGTGTCAGTTTCCCACCAGGACCTGATCCCACTGTCCCCTCGTCAGCAGGTGCTCCTGGGAACATGCGTGGCAGCCCTGGTCCTCCATGCACTGCCTGCTGTGCAGAGCACGGAGATGGGGGGTGTCTCTCCCCAACAGAGCATTCACCCCCTTTGTCTGGCAGAGACCCGGGGATGAAGTTCCATGACTGCAGGGTCCTGTTGAATTACCTCCATCATTATGAATGCTGGGTACCCAGGTGGCTCCGGGGTGTAATCAGACACGGCCCAAAGTGTCTTGCCCGGAGGTTTGCTTCCCACTCAGTCTGGCTCAGGTGGGCCTTCACCTTGAGACCTGGGTGTTCTTCCGTGAGCCCAGTACAGGCCTTGGCTTATTTTAGAGTCCAGGTATGGAGTCCATCTCATTCTCTGCCCTAGCCCTATTTCGGAAATCTAGAAATCAGACTGATCATCAGATACAGCTTTTTTAATGCAGGAAAACAGTAGCATTGGGAACCTTTTAACAGCTCCACAATGGCTCTTCTGAAGGACAAACAAGCCCTTGATGCTGTCTTGTTATTGCCAGAATAATATGTCCCGAATTGTTCTCGGTGGGCAGAACATTGTGCAAAGGCACAGTCTCTCCCTGCCGCCGTGAGTACAGCTAACGACGTTCGGGTGTGTAGGTCACTGGGGAGATGCTCGCGGCTCAGTCCCATCTTCGCCTATGCCTCACCCCCCTAGTCGGCCAGAAGAGCCTTCGACCTGGAGTGGCTACATGGGAAAGATGTTCATGGCTGCCACCAACTACCTCCCGGCCCAAGTGTCAGACATGATGAATCAGGACAGGGCCTTTGCCACCGGACGCTTGAACTTCTCTGGGCAGAGGAACATCTGCACCCTCTCTACGTACGTACCGTGCCACCCCAGCCCCACAAACAAGCCCATGCTTTTGTAAATGTCTTTTTTCCAAAGCACAAAGTTCCCAAACGTGAAAAGAAAAAAAGAAAGAAAAGACAGTCCGTCAAAAAGAAAGGTGAGCAGGCTTTTCCTATCTGATTTCAGTATGGATTCTCAGGGGGCAGCTGGAAGCCAGGGCATAGGAATCTTAATCTTCCAGCTGCCATGGTCTTGAAAACAACTCGTATTTTTATGTAATTACATAAAAAGCCTCTAGGCCTATTGGCTAGGCTCAGATACCTACGGGGCTGACTGATGTTTTATCTAAGAAATTTAAAGGAGTATATTAAAAAGTTGAATATTTTTAGGAAGTCATAGAACTAACCAGCAAAAATGGTAAGCCAGTTACACGTTTTCCAACCCTTCTCTGTCACTGTTAAAAGCAGAGACGTTTGTCCACTAGAGACCGCGTTCCATGTAGGTGAGCTGATGTGTTTGCTGGCAGTCACGCTGCACAGGGTAATAATGGTCCCTACACACATTGTTTTCCCCATCTCCAAGATTATGTTCCAAGACAAGAAATAATCCTGAAGGTCGATCGTGAGGTCAGAACGCAAAGGAACATCCAGGGGCCCAGACGGATCAGTAGGCTAAGGGTTTGCAGATGGCAGAAGTTGGTGACAATGCGGGTGAGGGAGGCCTTGCCATTTGAAGCCAGTCCGTTACCCATCTTGTTGTAATCGCGGTTCATGTTTTACCTGGCCCTTAGGATCCAGAAATTGCCGAGGCTGCTAGTCGCATCTTCTGATGGACACCTCTACATCTACAATTTGGACCCTCAGGATGGCGGAGAGTGTGTCTTAATCAAGACCCACAGGTGAAGACACTAGCTTCCAAAAGACAGCCTTTCAAGAGCCGGTCCTGTAGAGTTGTCACTCCACCAGGAACAATGGCAAGCTTCAGCGCTCTGGCTCCGGCAGTCTCGGTGGCAAGCCTCTAGTGGGCACCTCGATTGGCAGGCGCTCTCGGCGTGCTGTGTTCTTCTGGGAAAGTGCCAGGGAGAATAACAACACGCAAAAGAGAACGTGTCCCCCTCGGCCTGTTCTCCTAGGACAGCCCCGGGGACATAGTGGGTGTCCAAAATGCCCCCTGCATTGAATCGAAAAGTTCTAGTGACTTCCGTGACCACGTGCAGGCTGACCTCTCTTCCTGCTGTGGACAGGGCACCACGAGCTGCCACCGCACCTGGCCCATGGCCACTGTCCTTGTTAGCATGTCTTAGTGTTCCTGCCTGAGTGTGCCAGGAAGAGCAGAGGACCAATCCTTGTCTATTAAATATAAGAGAAAAGGTCATCTTGAAGTTGGCGACTGACCTCTGGCAGTTTAAGGTCCCTCCCGTTCACACTAGCCTAGCAGTGCACTGGTAGGTCTGTAATTGAAATTCGTGTAGCGGCCAGGCGCAGTGGCGCACGCCTGTAATCCTAGCACTCTGGGAGGCCGAGGCGGGCGGATTGCTCGAGGTCAGGAGTTCGAAACCAGCCTTCGCAAGAGCGAGACCCCGTCTCTACTAAAAATAGAAAGAAATTAATTGGCCAACTAACATATAGAGAAAAAATTAGCCAGGCATGGTGGCACATGCCTGTAGTCCCAGCTACTCGGGAGGCTGGGGCAGCAGGATCCCTTTAGCCCAGGAGTTTGAGGTTGCTGTGAGCTAGGCTGACGCCAAGGCACTCACTCTAGCCTGGCAACAAAACGAGACTCTGTCTCAAAAAAAAAAAAAAAAAAGAAACTTGGTAGCGCAGCATCTGCTTCCTGGTGCTTTTCCTTTGGAAGGGGTTCTAGATGTGTAATGATTTATTTCTTCTTCTTTTTTTTTTTTTTTGCATTTCATTTCACCCTCTCTTCATTGCTGCAAGTAGCTTGCTTGGCTCAGCAGCAACAGAAGAGAATAAAGAAAATGACCTCAGACCTCCGATACCTCAGTCTTATGCAGCAACTGTAGCCAGACCAAGCGCCTCTTCTGCCTCCACGGTGCCAGGTGAGTGGACACCTGGGTGACCTTCTGGGGTGGAGCACTCTTGTGAGGGTTTTGACTCCCCAGAAGCCCAGTCTCTCCAGCTGGAAGGCAAAGATGCCACCACGGTTTGCTTTGACTCCCTCCTCGGAGGTCCCGCACCCGGGTCGGTCATGGCCCTGGGCGGTCACAGCGTGACAACAGACCTCGCTGCTCATCTCACCTCTCCTTCTTCGTTTCCAGGTTATTCCGAGGACGGCGGGGCGCTGCGAGGAGAGGTTATTCCTGAGCATGAGTTTGCGACGGGACCAGTGTGTCTTGATGATGAGAATGAATTCCCCCCTGTGAGCATTAGGAATCCGTAAAAGAGCGGCTCAGTCTGTGTGCTTAGGTGGAAACCTTCACCTCCTGCCAGAGGCGAAGTCACTTTTCCCCCCTGTTTTCTAGTCTATAACAACTAATCCTCTTCTCTAACATTCCGAAAGCCATAGGGTGTTAGCGTACCGTGCACCGCACATCCTACAGGCCAGGCTTTGGGTGTCCAGCTCAACCCTGGCATCATTAGAGTAACCGAACACTAATGCAGGGAGTCTTGGTGGCCTCGTGTCACTCAGAGGCCTGGAATCCTTTGCTTTGCTTCTGTAGCTCTGACTTTGCTGCTCGTAGGAACTTATGCCTGCGTCAAACTCTTATTTTCCTAAGGCTCCCATAGATGCTTTTGCAGAACGCTGCCTGCCTTGTGCCAGAGGGGTTGAGCTAACAGGGCTGGGCTGCTGGGCTGCTGCGCAGTGCAGGCGAGCTCGACCGAGTCCCCCCCGCCCCACCATCTGCAGGGACTCATTAGCAAACAGCCGAGTGGAGGGCACGAGCCGCTGTGTGTGAGCTTACCAGGCACCCGCAGCTGGGCTCCCCAGCATCCTGCTCCAGCCGCTGTGGCAGAGGGAGCCCCCAGGGCTGGCTACCTGCTAGGCTTGGCTTCCTTCCTCCAGCCTCTGCACCTGGAGAAAAGCCTCCCTCCCTGGGGAGGTTGCCAGGGCCTCCTTAGCTTCTGATTCTCCAAGCTTCCATTTGGAGCAACAGATCGACCCCTCTTGTGAGCATCCCTTAGACAGCATCCCACGTAGTGGACCTGAAGTCATTTAGAGACGCAAGCAGTATTTAGGCCAAGACGTGGAGAGTCACCTCCTCGAAGCAGAGATGAGTGGCCATCTGGGTGCTGAAGCAGTGCCCCTTAGGCCCTGGTATAGAATGTTTCCTCCTGGTGGTTATTTTGTGTCAGTTGAGATTCCATTTGTAAAAGGATGGAGCGCAGGTCTGGCTTCTTTCCCCCACAGATCCATGGAACAATCTAGTAAGCATAGTTGACCAAAAAAGCAAAGCTGTCATGAGGCCGTTTGTGCATGACTGGGGGAGGGTGTTGTGATTTCCCACGTCGGTTCTGTGGATCACAGCTTGAGATGCTCATTCCTGGCTTTTAATAGGTTGCCAACAACATTGCCAACAAATGAAGTTTATATTTTAGTGGTGAAGAGCAACAGTTCTTAAAAATACTAATTATAACCTTAAAAACATCCGTTGGCTGCAGCCCACCTATAAACCAGTTAGTTATTCTGCCTTTGGGTCCTCGTGGCCCCAGCTAGCCATAAAGGGAGTTTTGCTGGCTCCCCAAAAGTTGGTGGTTATTTACCTGAAGTCGCATCTTCCCGGAACCAGAGCTGTCCAGATCAGACGTGGCAGGAGCAAGTGTGACCCTCCCGCTCTGTCAAAGTGCAGAGAGTTCACACACTCACTAGGTTCCATTTCGATGATTTTGGTAAAAGTCTGTGATGGCTATAAAAGATTATTAGATTATGAATTATAATCAGAATAATCCTTGCAAACCTCTTATATTTACAGAATTGGGGTAATTTGGATGTTGGCATTTAGGAGGCAGTCATTTGCCAAAGAAAACTTGTATAAAACAATAGGTACCTTGTGTAGGTCATTCGTTTGGGGTAAAAAAAAAAAAATGGAAATGCTTAATTTAAGAACTAGTGTAAAAACACGTCTTGAGACCTGTTGCCTATACAATTCCAGGAAGCTGGGCACGAGCCAGTCGTCCTGTCTCCCTCTTAAGGACCAAATGAGTGCATGTGGGTTTTAATTGTCTCAGGAATTTTTATTTATACTTAAGAAATGGTTCCTGCCAGTGAGAGTGTTGGTCACTCAAGGAGGTCCTTAGAATGGTTGTTAGACCTCAGGGAGTGGTGGGCAGTCGTGTGTGCAGGGCCAGTGCTAGGCATCTTGGTGGCCACCAAAACCCAGCCCGCCCTCCAGCCTATAGGCAGATGGCGGGCAGGGGCAGTGCTGCCTCAGTGGCAGGCAGGCTTCTCCGTCTCACCACGCCAGGACCAGAGCGTGGGGGCTACTGGATGCCCTCTCAGCATGGCCTATCCCAGTCATGCGCGTCTCGGCAGAAATATTCAACCAGGGATGCTAGAAAACTTCCCGTCTCTGCTTCTATCCTGGATTGTCAATGCCTATTGCAAATATTTATCCACAATTCAAAGATCCACAAAAGGATCTGAGGTCCACAAAAGGATCTCAGCATCTCAGCTTGGTTAAAATCGCTTCTCCTATAGCTGTGAACACAGGCTTGCCTGAGTCACCTGCGTCAGAGGGCCTTTGCCTTAAAAAGAGCATCACTAGTAATGTTTTAAAGATATATACTGACACTTCCCTGCATATGGTCACTCTGACCTCCTTGGGATTTACTTTGCTCCGAGAACAAGGACAGAACAGGGAATCGATCATTTCTGGTACCTTTGAAAGCTGCAGCGTTCAGGAGAATGAGCAGCTTGGTTTGTTTTTGTGTGTGTGTGTGTGTGTGTGTGTGTTTTTTTAGTTATAAGCCAACCTTTACAAGCCTGTGTATTTCTCGAGACCAGCCTTAACCTTGTGAGCAAGAGCAAGGGGATCGGGACCAAGGGTACATACTGACTTTTTAGTGGTGAGTTAGCAGTCTGTGTTTACAAGTAAGATGAGCCTTTTTTAGAAACACACATATACATATACATATGTTCACGTACACATTTTATACAGTGTTTTCTGAAACTGTGCCATGCTCGCCTACACCTCAGTAAGATGGGTGGATCTTCTTTGGCCATGAGCGAGGGTCACTGTGAGGCCAGACAGAGAAGCCACACAGCACCGACCCTGCTTGGGCACAGACCTGTTGATAATGCAGCCTGCCCGCCAGCCTCTTCCCGGGAAGAGTAAGGCCGTTCTGTTTTGATTTTGGTAGATAATCTTGTGCCGTGGAAGTCAGAAGGGCAAATCGAAGCAGACATGATGAGAAGCACACCTCAGAAATCAGGACATCCCCTATCAGGTGGTTTTGGAGAAAACAAGGAAGGTGGAAGAATGGAGTGCAATTGTGTAAGCAAAAGGGAGGGGGGCAGGAGTCCTGGGTGCTGTGCTGCTTAAACCACAGGACGTGGCTAACTCCTCACCATGCCCCCTCGGCCCCGATCGCCAGTGGGCACGGGAGACATTGTGTACACGTTATGCTATTTAAAATCTGTTCAAACCATAGTGTAAATGCTAACTAACCATATTGGTATATAACCGGAATTTTATATTGAAAAGGGCCATCCTTTTTAAATATATGCTGTGTAAAAATGTACTTTATAGGAAAATCTCTTTGAGTTGTATTTGTTGTACATTACATATATAGAGAAAGGGACTATTTTAGCCAGGCAAAGTATTTTTTGCAGTGATTGGAATAAATCATGTATTACTTTTGAGTCCCATTTAAGGACACTAATAATAAAATCATGGCAATGCATTTTTGAGGTTTCTAAAATTTATTTTATTTCTTTGAGGTTTCAGGGGGCAGGAAGAACTCAAACATTGTAAAATACGGTCATACAACCCTTAAAAGGAAGGGATGGGGACAGGGCCACGGACTTAGCCACGGCCCTTTCTGCTCTGAGACCTGGAAGCAGATGTAACTTTGTCCAGTCTAGATCCATGCTACCCAAGCCGTCATTTACTAGGAATGTAGGGTATCAGGCCCCACTGTAGACCTGCTAAGTCAGAATCCGAATTTTCACAAGATCCCAGGTGATTTGTATGCATATTAGAGATGGAGAAGCTCTGCCCCACATACCGGTTGGAATGAGTCTATGCTAAAATGACCAGAGAAACTGGGGACATCAAAAAGGGAAACTAAGATGTATTGGGCGTCTTCTCTGTGTCAGGTAACGTACCAGGCATTTTCACGTATTGCCTTATTTAACCCTCGAAAATCAACTTGCAAGTTAGGTTAAATAATTGTCCAAGTTCAAAAGCTGGGGCTCGAACCCGTGCCCGACTCCAGAGCCCACGTGCTTCCCACGACAGCACGTTCCCTGCCCCAGAGCCGGCTCAGCTCGGCTGTCCTCTCCAGCCGGCATGGAGGAGGGGACAGTAGGCAGGCGTGGTATGCAAGGCGGGGGCTACAAAACTAAATTCCGAGACTTATTTTTAAAGCGTATGGGTGTAAAGAGGGTAAAGCTGAAGTCTAGGAGTGAGCTCGCCCATCTCATTTCCAGATATTCCCTCCTCGTGGTCAGACTGGTCTGTTACGCGGTCTGGCAGCGGCAGGCAACTCGGTAGTGATTACAGCAGGGAGTTACTGAGGGATCCTGAGTGTAATCCGCTCTGGAGATGTTGTCGCTGGCAATGTCTTGAAGGACATCGGCAAGAACCTCCCTGACCCTGGGCAGCACGGCCTGGTACTCGGCACCGCCGCTCTCTAGAGGCGCACCTTCTGCAGCATCGTCCTCTAGATTGAACATCAGGGGAAGCTCGTGGTGCTGCTCAGGCCCGATGCTCCCGTCACATGCTTTGGCCCCACCTAGAGAGAGAAGGACAGCAAATGCCTCATGAGACCCAGCTTGGGCCCTATATTGTAAAGAGGAGAGCTGCGAGTAAGTCTGATTCCAACATACCAGATATTCAGACATCCAAATGCGTGCTCTCCCTGCCAAAGAAGTTACCTTGAGGATCTATTTGTTCCTTCCAGTGATGATCCTGTTATCCAGGATGATCTGGAACTTCTCCTTGGACTTGCCTTCAGAGCCAGTAGAACACTCATTCAAATATCTTTAATCTCTGCCCTTCAGGAGTAAATCAGGGTTTTTTTTGTTGTTGTTTTTTTTTTTGAGACAGAGTCTCACTTTTGTTGCCCTGGCTAGAGTGAGTGCTGTGGCATGAGCCTAGCTCACAGCAACCTCAAACTCCTGGGCTCAAGCAATCCTGCTGCCTGAGCCTCCCAAGTAGCTGGGACTACAGGCATGCGCCACCATGCCCAGCTGTTTTTTTCTATATATATTAGTTGGCCAATTAATTTCTTTCTATTTATAGTAGAGACTGGGTCTTGCTCTTGTTCAGGCTGGTTTCGAACTCCTGACCTCAAGCAATCCGCCCGCCTGGGCCTCCCAGAGTGCTAGGATTACAGGCGAGAGCCACCGCGCCTGGTCTACATCAGGTTTTTTTGAAAATTGATTTCTGAAATACCAATGGGTGAACTAGGTGGGAAGTCAAGGTGAGTAATTCCACTCTGGGTTGGAGATGAGAATCTTACACGGATTAGAATCTGGCTATTAAGGCGTCCCAAAGAGAAATGACAAGAGTATTTGAAGTGATAGCACCATCTTTAGCTCTTAATGATTCAGACAACTTTTTTTTTCTTTTGCCTTTTGTATACAAAAAAGTAGTTAAGATATCTGATGAAAATAAATACAATATAATTGAGTAAACAAAGGGAACTAAGGCAAAGAATAACCTTCAGAAATACAGAAGTTCCTGACTACCTAATCTGCTTCTCAGCTTATTATAGCACCAAACATTAATAAGCTAGAAGCTTGTAAATTGCTCAGGAGAAATAGAGCTTGTCTGGCCCTGGGGTCTGAGAGAAATTCTACCAATGGCTTCTCTTGCAGGGGACCTGTCTGATGGGGGAATGCTCAATGGCATTTGTATGAAAAAATGCAGCTATGTGATTAGGATGGCCCAGCTGATGACTTCTTGTCACACCCTTCATTACAAGATGAGAGCAGAATGCCAAAATGCAATTCAGCAAAAGGAAATCTACAGAGGCTAAAGCTATCCTACCTAAGGATTCAGCATTCTGGTTCAATCTGGCCAGAAATAAAATTTAAAATACTGAGAAAAATGATTAGATCTCATAGGCTTTAGGCAACCCTCTATTCATGGTCTCCTCCTGTGACTGAGACTCACGTTGTTCGTCAGAGATTTACAGTCGCTGTCTTTGCCTGGACTTTGGAGTAGAGTTTGGCTGTTCTCCGTTCTCGGTAAAGGGTGGTGACATGAGCTTCGACAATCAGTGATGCAAATGTTGGGACTGACTCCTCTTAAGAAAACTAAAAAATTCCACTTAAGGGAATAGTGGAGTAGTTTTTACAGAACTAACCCTCCTCTAATAGCAATTATAAATTCTAGGCAACACATTTAAAAAAAAAAAAAGAAAAACAATGAAAGACACTGGTAAATAACAAAGACAGGCAGAAACCAGAAGGGATTGGACCTTTAAAAGAAGGAAGCCGTCTTGGGTTGGATCTGAGTATAAAAGTTTTCCCCTAGAGACACTCCCCAGTTTGTGCAGCGCGAATTGATGGAGAAAACCCTGGGAAGGAGAGACCCACAGAGGGGAAGCCTCAAAATCCGCAATATAAGCTCCCTTCAAAGTCTCGGCTGCCCTCCGAACTGCGCATGCACAAGGGGAGAGATTCTAACCACAGCTAGAAGCCCAAAGTAGCTCAGCAGGCATTTCTGCTGCTACCTACCTAAGGGAAGACAGAGTTTAGAGTGTGAGTTCCATTAAATTAGGGAGGCTTGAGCAACACCTCAGATTTTCCACTGAAGTCCCAAAAGGTTCATGCTAGGAGTAGAGACCATGTCCCAGGACTAAGGGCTTTCCCTAGGATTAAGGGGGAAATCTGAAAGACCATCCTCACAAAGTGTAAAACCAAACCTCTGCAAGTTCAAGAGAATCAACTACTAATTAACACCCTCAAGATGACAAATCAGAATCTCTACAATGTGTCGTCAACAGCGTCTGGTTTATAATTTTTAAGAACTACTAAATAGGAGACTTCTGGTTTCCAGTCCAGCATGTAAGGAGCTGGGAAGTCACCACTCCATCTTACCAACAAGTAAAAAGCTGAAAAACTAAAAAATTAGCAACTCTTGTTAGATGTGTGAGAGAAGTGAGGTCACAGAGCAAACCACTGGGCCCAAAACTGGAGGGACACATGGGGAAACAGAATCATGGCTTACCAGAAACCCACAAGTGGAAACTTCTTTGGGAACCAGCGCCAGGGATAGGGAAGACCTGAACTGTAACTGACAAATCAGTGGAGGCTCAGTGTGAACAAGTCTGAGGGATAACCCTAGGGGACCCCATCATCAAGGCCTCAAACTTTTGTGGGTTTTACCTCCAGGAGCTCAGCCAGGTTGTCACAGTAAATAATGGAGAAAAACCCCCTTCTTAATTGATAACAGTTTATTCAAAATTATAATAGCAACAATGATTTGATTATGTATGTGTATATATATATATATATACACACACACACCTATCGTGCTTATGTAGAAGTGAAATGAATGACAGCAATGCTACAAGGAATGGGAGGAAGAAATTATGATCATTATAAGGTACTTGTACTACCTTTGAAATGGTGTAATGTTATTTGAAAGTGGACTTCAACTAGTTGTAAATATACATTACAAACTTTAGAGTAACCACTAAAAAGAGTTTTTAAAAAGTGTAACTGATATACTAAGAAAAGAGAGACAATGGAATCATATAAAATGCTCAATTAAAATCACAAAAGGCAGAAAAACAGTAGAAGAGAAAAATAGAAAGAACAAGGGGAACAAATAAAAAATAATAACAAACATGGCAGATATTAATCCAACTCTATCGATAATCACTTCAAACATTAATGATCTAAATGCATCAATTAAAAGCTTGTCAGAGTGGATCAAAAAATAAGATTCAATTACATGATATCTACCCAAAAACCCTACTTTAAATATATGGGAAAGATATGCCATGCTAATACTAATCGAGAGAAGGCAAGAATAGCTATATTAACTTCAGACAGAACTGAGATCAAATCAAGGAAAGTTATCAGAGATAAAGAGGGATATCACATAATGATAAAGGGGTTAATTCTCCAAGAAAACATACAAATCCTTAATGTGTATGCATCTAACAAGAGAGCATCAAAATACTTGAGGCAAAAACTAGTAGACCTGCAACTCAGAATAGATGAATCCACTATTATAGTTGGAGAATTCAACACCTCTCTGTCAGAAATAGACAGATCTGGCCGGCAGAAAATCAGTAAGAACATAGTTGAACTCAACCACACCATCAATCAACTGGATATAGTAGACTACTTCAATAACAGCAGAATATGCTTTTTTTCAAGCTCATATAGAACACTCACCAAGACAGACCATACATACTCTGGGCCATAAAACATACATTAACAATTTTTAAAGAATAAAAATCATACAATGTCTGCTCTCAGACCACGATGGAATTAAACTGGAAATCAATAACAGAAAGCTATAAAATCCCCAAATACCGGGTGATTAAACAACACACTTCAAACCCATGAGTCAAAGAATAAATCTCAAGAGAAATGTTAAAACGTTTGGAACTAAATGAAAATGAAATTACAACTTGCAGGATGCAGCAAAAGCAGTGCTTAGAAGGAAGTTTATAGCATTAAAATGCATATATTAGAAAAGAAGAAAGATATAAAAATCTAGGTTTCATTAGGAAACTACAACTAGCAGAGCAAATTATTATAAAAATAAAATAATATAAAATAAAAAGCAGAAGAAAATAAAAATGCAAGCAGAAATCAATAAAGTTGAAACTATCAATGGAGAAAATCAATAAAACAAAAAGATTGTTCTTTGAAAAGATCAATAAAATTGACAAGCCTCTAGCTAGGCTAAGAAAAAAAGAGATAAGATACAAATTATTAATGCTAATATCAGAAATGAAGAGGGGACATCACTATAAATCCCATGGACATTGAAAGGACAATAAAGGATTATTATGAATAACTTAAGCCCGTTAATTTGATAACCTTGATGAAATGGACCAATTCCTTGAAAGACACAGTGTGCCAAAACTCACTCAAGAAGAGAAACAATCCGAATAGGCCTCTTATTTGTGAAAGAAGTTGAAATGATAATTAATAACCTTCCAAAACAGAAAGCAGCATACCCAGATGGGTTCACTGGTGAATTCTACCAAACATTTAAAGAAGAAATTACACCAATTCTATACAATCTCTTCCAGAAGGTAGAAGCAGATGAAATATTTCCTACCCTATTCTTTGAGGCTAGCATTACCCTAATACAAAAATACCGTACGAAGATATTACAAGAAAAGAAAAGTACAGACAAATAGATCAATGGAACAGGATAGAAAGCCCAGAAACAGACCCACATAAATATAGTAAACTAATCTTTGGCAAAAGAGCACAGGCAATACAATAAAGATAGCCTTTTCAACATATGGTGTTAGAACAACAGGACATCTAGGCACAGAATTTACACCCTTCACAAAAATTTATTTTAAAAGGATCATATATACCTACGTGTAAAATGCAAAATTATAAAACTCCTAGAATATAACACAGGAGAAAGCCTAGAAGTCCTTGGGTATGGTGATGACTTTTTAGATAACACCAAAGGCATAGTCCATGGAAGGAAGAATTAATAAGCTGGACTCCACTAAAATTATAAACTTCTGCTCTGCAAAGGATGCTGTCAAGAAAATGAAGAAGACAAGCCACAGAATGGGAGAAAATATCTGCAGAAGACATATCTGAGAAAGGACTACTGTCCAAAATGTACAAAGAACTCTTAAAACTCAACAATGAGAAAATGAACAACCTGATTAAAAAATGGGCAAAACCTTGAACAGACACCTCACCAAAGGAGATATATCGATACCAAATAATCATGTGAAAAGATGCCCAAAATCATATGTCATTAGGTAATTGCAAATTAAAGCAACAATGAGATACCATGACACACCTTTTTAAATGCCTAAACTCCAAAACACTAACAATACCAAAAGCTGGCAAGGATGTGAAACAATAGGAATTCGCACTCATTACTGGTGGGAATGCAAAATGGTCTGGCCACTTAGGAAGACAGTTTGATAGTTTATTATAAAACTAAACATGCTTTTATTATACCGTATGATCCAGCAGTAACATTTCTTGGTATTTACTGAAATGAGTTGAGAACATGTCAACACAGAAACCTGCACATGCATGTTTATAGCAGCTTGGTTCATAATTGTCAAAACTCGGACGTGACCGAGATGCCCTTCAGTAGGTAAATGGATAAACTGTGGTACATCAGACAATGGAATATTATTCAACACTAAAAAGAAGTGAGCTAGAGGATTCTGGGAAGATGGCTTATCTAGGAACGAAAGTTGGCTTAACATTTGAAAAATCAATCAATGGGAAAAAAATAAAAAAAAATCCATCCATGGAATTCACAGCAATAAGAGTGTAAATATGCAGGTATTTATATTTATAAAAACTCACTGAATTGTACATTTTATATCTGTTCCTTTCACTGTGTGTAAAGTTTGACTTAATTAATACTTAAAAAAAAATAAGGTACTTTAATTCTAGCCACACACCAAAACAGACTACTGGTTGTCTTTTAAGGCCACTCCTCGCTCAATCGTAACATCATATTCTCTAATCTAATGTAGTAGGTGTCAATTTATCCAGCTTATCCAAAAGCAGTTTTAAGTAATTAGGATGCAAATTTTAAAAGTGTGGGGGCAGGGGACGAGGGAGGAATCAGAACATATCTGTGTGTTTCATCCCATTCACAATTTTCATCTGATGTGTTGAGAGTTCAGTGCTCCTGCCCTGAGTCTACTAGGAGTTTGGTGACTCCTCAGAACAGACCTCCCCTGGGAATCAGAATTCCTGCCTGATCATGATCATTTTAAATAGCCCTATTACTTCATAGTAACATTTATGATTCCAGTATTATGGTGCCAACGGTTTTCTGGCAGGGTTATTACTTCTGAAATTAACTCAGCCTGGAGGCCCCATACCTCTTACATAATGTAATATAAGGACGCTAATCTAGAAGCATTTCCTCTGAAAGCATAACAAGTATGTGACTGTTTTGTGTTTTAGGTTTTAGAGAATCAAAGATTCTTACGACATTTTTAATATCCGTCAAGTTATGAACTCAAAGAACTTGTTTGGTTTTTATGCCACATTTTCTTAAGGATCGCTTATTTACACTCAGGGAAAATAATTTTTGTTTTTTATTATATAGTTCTTTGCTCCAACATTAAATAACTGAATCAAATTTGAATCTGCATTAGATCATATATTTTGCTTTTCTAGTTTTTGCTTTTCATTCATTAAAAAAAAATGTTAGGTCCCTACTAAGTGTGCTAAGTACTTCAAGACAATGAAGATTAAAGAGCTTAAAGAGTTCTGAGTTTAGAGAGCTTAAAACTAGTAGACAAAATAAAACATGTACATATATGACTAGCATATATGGCAGAATGTGATAGGTATCAGAGTTCTCCAAATCCTACCCAGCTGGGAAGAGGGTGTTTCATTAATCAAAGTGGCATTTGATTGAGGGCCTTAAAAGCCAAGAAGGATTTCAACACAGAGGCCAAGGAAGAGAAGACTTGCTCTTGGAGAATTAAGGCTGGAAAGACAGAGGGACCCATGACTAAGAGTCTGCATTCAGCTGGCAGCAAGAAAGCAATGGAATATTTTGAGAACCATCCTGATCCAGTGTGGCATTTCTTTCTTTTTTTTTCTTTTCTGGAGACAGAGTCTTGCTCTGTCACCCTGGATAGAGTGCAGTGGCATCAGCCCAGCTCACAGCAACCTCCAACTCCTGGGCTCAAGCAATCCTCCTGCCTCAGCCTCCTGAGTAGCTGGGACTACAGGTAGCACCATGATGCCCAGCTAATTTTTCTGTTTTTAGTAGAGACAGGGTCTTGCTCTCTCACTCTGGCTGGTCTCAAACTCCTGAGCTCAAGCCATCCTCCCGCCTAGGTCTTCCAGAGTACTAGCATTACAGGCATGAGCCACTGCACCCAGCCTCCAGTGTAACATTTCTAAAATACACATTTAAGACAGAGAGTGAACCAAGAAGCAGAGACATCTGTCAGTTTGCTAAACAGACTTCTAAAGTCTATTTTCTGAAACAGTCCATTGTCAAGTAAATTATACTTTAAAATATCTCTAGGCTTCCATTTAATGTTCAGCCAAACTGGCATTTAAAGCGTAACAATGCAATGAAACATCCATGTGAAAAGCGGAAGGAATGTGCAGAGAGCTCTCTGGGGCTTGCTGGAAATTTAGAAGAGTAGAAAGACCTTATTTGCATGTGGGTGGGGCCAGAGGGCTTCTGCTGGGTCCTTCTGCTGGGCCTGGGTTTGGGGTACTGAGAGCTCCCCAGAGGGGGGCAGCCCACACTCACTCCCTCCCAAAGGCCTGAGTGAGAGTCCCGGAGGGCCACCCCCCAGGTGCGCATGCAGGAGGCGGGCTGAGCGGGCCTTCACTCACCGGTCACGTAGAAGGCCTTGTAACGCTCCAGGCGGACGGTCTGCAGGGCTCCGAGCTCTCCAGCGGCCCCGCTGTTGGGGTGGAACAGCACCTGAGGAAGGTTGGAAGGGTTTGCTGATAAGAACACCATGCTGCATGCTCCCTGGGAGGCACTGCTTTCTTGATCAAGGTCCGCACTCCCCATCCCTGCTCCAAACACACACTAACACACGCAGGCCTCTGGTCCACACTGGCCAACGCCCGAGAGGCTCTGTGAAGTTGCTGTTTTGCTACCTAATGAATCAAAGTGGGCTACAACTCTGGACCAGGGGGAGAAAGATCTCGCTGGATGGAAGGTCAGATTCTAGCCCCAATAGCTGCTATGTAATTGGCAGGGTCCAGTGCAAAATGAGAATCAGGAATCCCTTGTTCACAAATTAAACCTTTCATGAAGATCACAGCAGAGCTTTTTTTTTTTTTTCTTTTGAGACAGAGTCTCCCTTTGTTGCCCAGACTAGAGTGAGTGCCGTGGTGTCAGCCTAGCTCACAGTAACCTTCAACTCCTGGGCTCAAGCAATCCTCCTGCCTCAGCCTCCCGAGTAGCTGGGACTACAGGCATGCGCCACCATGCCCGGCTAATTTTTTCTCTCTGTGTATATATATATATATATTAGTTGACCAATTAATTTCTTCTGTTTATAGTAGAGACGGGGTCTTGCTCTTGCTCAGGCTGATTTTGAACTCCTGACCTCAAGCAGTCATCCCGCCTCGGGCTCCCAGAGTACTAGGGTTACAGGCGTGAGCCACCGCGCCCGGCCACAGCAGAGCTTTAAACCAAGCACAGCGTCCTCCCAAGCGTGGGGCCCTGAGTGGTGGCACAGGTCACAGGCCCACGGGGCTGTCCTGCCTGAGCCCCTCCCCCCAGGGGCAGGACGGGGCTGGGGACTTGCATGTTTTACAAACATTATTCCCAGGGACTCTGATGCAGGTGACCCTCAGATCTCTTTGAAAAACAGCTTCCTCAACATCGAGTGGATTTTCCAGCCCTCCCTGGGGCGAGACTGGTGCGAGAAGGCATCCTTGATTTCCCCAGCGCTGGGCACAGCCGGGCCGCTGAACACAGACACCCACACCTATGACTCAGTCCCTCTGTACTTGGACTGAGGAAATCCTTCCTCATCGAGTCATAGATAAAACGAATTACCCTAAAGAGTGGAAACACCTAATTCAGGATTCCCAAGGGAAGGATTTGATAAAAATATAAAAGGCCAGTGTCCTTTGTAGGTCCGTGGGTTTGGGCTGAAAGCATGAGACTGCTCTGGTATGAATCACGAGCGTATATATGGCTGGAAAGGCGCTTATGTGATTCAAAGTTTCCATGGGGCTTTAAAAAAAAATGAGAAACATCTGTTAGAGCAGTAAACAGCTGTCCCCCCAAATTTCACAGTTCTGAGAGGATGCCGCCAAGGTGGGGCTCGCCCCACACCTGCTGCTTCTGGGCTCTCGTGACAATCCCTGCAAATTCCCGGGGCCCTGGTGATGACAGCGGGCTCCTTCCAAACAGGAAAAGAAGTCAGTAACCCAAAACCCTGACTCCTTTCATCCCAGCAAAAAGCCAAGCGTCTCACCGCGGGAGACTGTTTTGTTTCCTTCTTGAGATGGCAGGAAACAAGAGACTTGGAAAACCTATTGTCAACTGATCACTCAGACATCCAGAAGATGGGGGGCCAGGCTCACTGTTTGGGCTGCTTGAGCTCACTGGAGTCTCAGCCTAAGAAATTCCATAAGGGTGGGCTGCCCTATTAGGAATATTTATTCGGCGTGACCAGAGGCCACTGCCAAAATCCAAGAGGAAGCAAAACTGTGGGACAGACAGCTCATTCTCAGAAATGTGGATGGATTTTGGAGAACTCGCGCATGCATTTTTTCCCTTTGAGCACACTGATCATGGCTTTCTTATTTATGTCAACAGGGGAAGTAGGTTGGCAAATTTACACAAGCATCGCAGCCCGCCAGATGCCTGGTCCAAATTTCAAAGATGACTTTATCTTCTGCAAACTTCTTGTGCCTTCTTGGTTGCCTATCGTGTGCGTGTCTGTCTCTTTATTTTATTGTGTTTTGTGTTTTTAAGCACACGAGCGTCCCCTTACATGAGGTCGTGGAGGCCAGTGCTTATTAGCATCCTCTGATGGGCTCCTTGTCCCCTCAGGTCAGGTGGGGGAGCACAGCTGGCAGTCTGGATGAGACAGGCCAGGCGGTCGTTCGCCAGCCACTCTGGGTGGCGTCTCTCACCACTAGGGGCCTCTCTAAGAGAAGCGATCGGTGTCCCCAACACTGAAGCCCAGCTCGGCTGGCTCCCTTGGTGTACGGCCCCTGGGGGTTCCGGGCATGTGAGGACCTACACCAGCCCCAGACTGGGCTGGGCTGGGCAGACGCACAGCTGTTAGGGCAACCCTTCCTTAGTTGACAGTTTTCGGATCTGGTCATAGCAACCGGCGACTGAGATATGACTTGACCAGTGGTGACGCTGCAATCTTTGGCTTCCACCTGGGAGTCAGGAAAGCACCAGGTGGGACACTCGTTTCAAGCTTCCGCAGCCCTCCCCTTCCCGGCTCTCTCGTCTCTCCGTGTGGCCCTCACCACTAGTATTTGCATTGCACCTGTCACCTGGCTTTAACTCTTGCTTACTGGATTTGCAGATTAGGGAAGAACCCAATTGCTGAGAAGCATTTGCATATTGTTTTGAGCTGACTGGGAGTTACTTTGAGCTCCTAGAAACTAGAATGCTTTACTAAACCAACCCGTACTGGAATATTTGTAAGTCCAGGACATATCTGAGGGTGAACACAAATTGTGTTTACTTTTAAAAATATAAGTATACATGTATGTGTGTGCATAAACATATGCATATATACACACATGTATACCTGTATGTGTCTAGACATATGCACATATATACAGATACATGTATGTATGTAGAGATATATGTGTATACATGTGTGTACATGTGAATATGCATATGCATGTTCATGAGTGTGTATTTAGACATATGCATGTGTGTGCATATGTATACATGCATGTTATGTATAGACATACACATGTGTATGTATATTTACAAAATCACTCATATCCTTATGCACCGGCCTCTCCAACAGCTGTCCCAAATTCGAGACAATTTGCTCTTGTCTCTTTAATCCTGTTACTTTGCTTCCATAGAAAGGCCCGACCAGAGAAGACCAAACCCAAATTCAGGGCTAATAACTACCCAAGTTGTCCTCAAACTCTCACGTGTCTTCTAGTGCTCCGGGAGGCTGGGCGTGGCCCAAGGCGCCCTCGCAGACGCCGTGGGCAGCTTCCCGCGCGGTAAGCGTGGCTGTCTCTTCCGGGGCCACCGGGTGTGGTTAGGGAGCAAATCGCCCCAACTGCAGCTGCGTCACCGCACATCGCACGTCCCCACAGCGGACGCCGTGACTCGTAGCCGGGGCTCCAACCTGGCTCCCGGGCCTCGCCCTGCTGGACACCAGCTAGGAAGGCCCGCGGGAGCGCGCACAGCTGCAAGCGGAGGAAGCGCGAGAGCGCGCCTGAGAACGGAAGCCAGCGCACGGAGGAGCCGGCTCCCACAGGCAGCCCGACAACGTCAAGGAGACCACAGTCCTTGAAGCACTTCCTAGTGACCCCAATCATTCTATTAGTGGCCATGGCAATAAACACTCGGCAGCACCTCTCCACTGACGTCCTCGACAAACCCCCAGGGTCACACGCTGCTACCTTCCAGCCCGAAGGCGGAAACCACCTTCCTGTTTCGCTGCTGGGGAGAAGGCGTGGGCCTGGGGCTCTGCAGCTCTCGGGGGCAGATATTCTGGGGAGAAGCAGGACTTCCTCGGGGGGCCTCTCAGCCTCATCACAACCCCTCAAAACCACATTAACTCGCACAGGAGCACCGACGGCCGTGGAGGACCCGTGTTCTGGTTTGCCGGGGGAGGCTGGGCGGGAAGGGCAGCCCCAGTAATCGCCAGCCTCAGGACACTTGCGCACATTTGAGTCACTTCCATGTGACCCTTGGCAACGACATAAATAGACCTTTTGAAGTGTGGTCCCTAACCGAGGCGCTGTGTGCTCCCAGGGCCTTACACAGGGGGCTCCGTGCTCCTCCGGCCTCCTGGCCTCCTCCTGCTTCCTCTTCCTTTTGGTGAAAGGAAAACACACGGAAATGACAGGGAAAGGCCGTCAGGCTTGACATTTCCTGGCTGTCACTGCCGCTGAGTGCAAAGAGGGGACACCGAGGGGGTGACACTGAGAAGCAGACGCCCAAAGCCAGTGCCAGGGGCTGCTGGGTCGGGAAGGGACTACAGAGCACGTGCTGAGCCCTCTGGAACCGGGGGACTGCCGGGGGTGTGAAGACCTGCTGGCCTGCTGCCCCAGAGGTCTTTCATCCATATGTTCATTTGTTCTTCCAAAATGCCCGGACTGAATGCTGGCTGGCGCGGGCACTGTCAGGTGCACTGAGGATTCGGCGGCTGAGGTCCTTGCCCGCAGGAAGCTTCCATCCTAGAGGGCCAGCCTCATAACGAAAGAGTCGCAAACGTGCTGGGTGCCCGCATTGTTAAATTAAATACACAAGGGGGAAAATGGTCCCTTATAGGGAATAAGCACCCATGTACACCCGTCCTGAGCCAAATTGTCAAATATAAATCTGGATTGACAACCTGGATTGATTACAGGTGCAGAGAGGGGGAAAGAGAGGTTCATCCCAAAGGATTCGCATCTTGGGGTTTCTCACAGCGGGTCTGAACTGCACTTGCACACACCTTCCGAGGATGGTTCTATTTGCACAAAGGTGAGAGGCAGCAGCCCAGCCTCCGGAAGAGCCCAGGTGTGGGCACGTACCTCCTCCACTTACCCTGTGCCCAGCCTGCGACCGGCCAAAGAGCACCTTGGAGACGTCCACACCATCAAAGTGCCGGCCTCGGGGCAAACTGGCCTGGGCCAGGGCCACCACCGTGGGGAAAATGTCCAGCACGCTGCAGAAAGAGCAAGACTGAGTCAGCCCCAGCTCTTCCGACTCTCTCCCTGGCCCTGCTGTGTCAAAGCCCACCTGAACTAGCCCAGAGCAAGCACTGACAGCCTCCCGTCTAGCCCACTCTCTAAACCTGCCTGGTTCCACCTCAATTTCTGCTCCCACGAGAGGCAGAATGGTACGGTGGCTCAGCACCCAGGCTCTGTGGCCAGGGGTTGCCTGAGCTCAAATCCCAGCTCTGCCTCCTATCTAACTCCTCAATGCCTCAGTTATCTTAGTCTCTCAAATGGGTATGATAATACAGTAGTCCCCCCTTATCCAAAAGAGATACATTCTGACACCCCCAGTGGACACCCAAAACCATGGATCGTACTGAACACAATTGCCGTCAGTCGCAACACGTTTCTGTTTATGACTTCCACCCACAAATTTAACACCTTTTCCCTCTTAACTCAATACTTATCACACGCTGTGGCCATAACTTTGCACTTTGAGGTGCGACAGCAAAACCAGCACAAAGTTTCTTTTCCTTGCTCACAATTTCACGGATAGAAGATTTGTTCTTACCATAGGTCTTGGGAACCTCAGCATAAAAATTTTTTTTTCCTTCCTTTTGAAGTCAAGAACTTTCACCTTTTCACTGAAAGGAAGCACTTTATAGCTTCTCTTGGACATATTTGCATTGCCAGCATCACTGCTCTTGCTTGTTGGGGCCATTGTTAAGTAGAATAAGGGTTACTTGAACACAAGCACTGCCATGCCCCGGCAGTCAATTTGGTAACCAAGAAGGCTCCTAAAATGACACAGCGTGGATCTGCTGGTCAAAGGTAGGATTCGTAATGGACAAGACGGAGCAGGATGAGGCGAGATTCCATCACACTACTCAGAACGGTGGGCAATGTAAAACGTATGAATTGTTCACTTCCGGAATTTTCCATTTGGTATGTTCAGACCTCAGTTGACCACAGGTAACTGAAACTATGGAAAGCAAAACCGTGGATAATGGGGAATACGTATGGGTGCCCGCTGCACAGCCTAGTTGTGTGGGTGCAACACACAGGTAGGGCACAGAGAAGGGGCCCAGCACTCAGAATGCACTCCCTGAATGTTTGTGCTGTGATTATTCACAGGGCCACCTGTGCGAACCAATCTAAGAACCAAGGGGTTCTACCTGTCACCAACCGGGCCACTCCTACCCACTAAGAGGGGACAGTGTGTGACAGGTGTCTGCAGGGGAATGTCCACTTCATTGTTCATTCCCTGGGTCTCTGTATTGTAAAAATGTAGTCTTTGTTTAGAACGCCATGATATGTGAAATATATCACTCCCTTTATTTTAGCTCTTTTGCTCATTACAAAACAGTGAGTGTTTATGATAGAAAAAAAAAAATGAGAACATCCAGAAATATAAGACAGAACAACGCACACATAGTCCATCACCCAAAGGCAGCCACTGTTAACATTTTGGTGGATTTTGTTCATGCGATATTTTTTAAGTGATGTGGTCTGGTCTTACTTGACCTCACAGCAAATCCCCCTCCAGCCTGCTGGGTGCACCTAGAAACAAATCTTCAGCAGGAACAGAGAGGCTGCCTCATATACAGCGCGTCCCAATAGTTGCCATAGACGGGGAAAATGGGAAATTGTAGCTAAATGTACTTTTATTTACAAAATAGTCATTACAAAATTTTTTCTTTATATGGAGACTTTTGGGACACCCTGTAGTTTGGATATTTGACCCTCCAAATCTCACATTGAAGTTTGATCCCCAGTGTTGGAGGTGGGGCCTGGAGGGAGGTGTCTGGGTCACAGGGTGGATCCCTCATGAATGGCATGGTGGCCTCCCCCTGGGAATGAGTGAGTTCTCACTCTATTAGCTCCCCGGAGAGCTGATTGCTAAGGCAGTCTGGCTCCTCCCTCCTCCCTCCCTCCCTCTCTCTCTCCCTCTCTCTTGCTATGCTGCTGTTTGCTTTCTGCCATGCGTGGAAGCCGCCCCAGTCACAGCCCAGAAGCACGTGCTGGTTCCATGCTTCTTGTACGGCCTGCAGAACCGTGAGCCAAATAAACCTCTTTTCTTATTAAATTGCCCAGCCTTAGGTGTTCTTTCACAGCAACACAAACAGACTAAGACACTGCCCTGTCAACAGAGCTGCTCCTCTGAGGGCCAGGCCAACTGAGAGTCCCTGGAACTTGCTGGAGCCAGGAGGGCTGGGCAGGGGAAGCTAGACTTCCCCAAGAGAGGGGCCCTGGTCGCCCTGAGGCTGGGCTGGGCAGCAGATCTCAGGCTCACCCGGGCACAGAGAAGCCTCCAGAACCAGGCCTCCCCACTTCCCCACTCTGAGGTCTGGGGGTGCTCTCCGCCCTCCGGGAGGGGGACTGCAGAAGGTGCTTGCCCGTGGCTCTGCCTACCACCCGGTTGCAATCTCTCCGCTGCCTGCAGCACAGAGTGTTTCTGTCTGCCTTCGGCTTCCACAGTCCACGTAAGCTGGCGGCTTATCTCTTAAGATATGCGCCCCGGGACCTGGCATCCCACACTGATGCAGAGTCAAGGAATGCACAGTCAGCACTCGAAAAGCACAGAACAGTCCAGAAACCTGTCCAGAGTCCAAGGTTCCTGCCACAAACCGGAAAGCAAAGATGACCACAAAGCAGTCTGAAAAGGCCGGGGCGGTTTGGGGCTGTTTGTTCGGAGTTTCCTCTAAACTGCGCCCCTAACAGAGATCAGCGTCACAGATGGGTCAAATCTGCGAGGCAGAGAAACAGGATCTGCATTAGAGTTTGGAAAGCATTGCAAGGCTTTCTTTTTCCATCTTATTTTTCCCCCCTCTATCCTGAGGTTTAGCATTCTAATTACACAGCACCGAGTCTAATGTTCCACGAACCCTGGTGTCTCGGGGGTTGGGTGGCAACCTCAGAGACACCTAGTTAGCGCACCGGAGCACGCGTGAAACCTCTTGCCCGTGAGAAAAGCTTCCACACGCCGTGACTCGGGCTGTCAAGGCAGCGTGGTCCAGCAATGGCAAGCTCGGGTGTCAAAAAGTCCTCCTTTGAGTCGCGGAGAAAGCCAAACCACTGAGGTTTGCCCTGGAAGCGGGAGATGTCCCCTGGTCCCCACGGCTCAATGCCATCCCAGAGCTGCGCCTGCAGCCTCCCTGTGAACTTGGAGAAAGCGTCCGTCCTAGGAAGGCAACCAAGGGTGCCCCAGCCACTGCAAACCTCAAACCCCACTAAAGCATTGGTCCTGGGAGTCTCTGAAAACCTTGCAGAAAGAGACAAAACAGAAACAAAAGCCTGCACTTTCAAGCTTCCCCCGTTCATCTCGTTGCCTGGCTGTTGGCAGAGCCGAGTTCCAACTTTCACGGGACCTAGGCACTCTTGCCTTCGTGCGACTCTTCCTCCAAAAAAAAAAAAAAGTATATTAAAAATTATACTTTATGACTGCAGCAAGATAAATATGAGTATATAAAGAATATAGATTAAGCCATTTTATCCTGCCTAAAAGTCCTTCTTCTCTTTGGATTTTAAAAGAGTTAAAATTTTCCTAAGTCTCACGGG